ACATAATGTTTTGTAGCAACAGTGGTGAACAGCTATAGAATCACTGAGTTCAACAACTACGCAATTACAAGTTGTGCCAAATATTGTCTTTCTTTCCAGCTATTAAGACTTACCTGTTAAAACCTGGGGCTAACAATTCCAAGGTCAAAGATGTACTGAATTTGGCAGGCTACTTCTTCTGAGAGCTCTCTGATTATGAATAAAGCACAAACTCTCACCTTCAGAGTTCTGTCTGCTGAAAGGCCTGTACAGGCGCCATAATGCTTGGACCCCAAAGATTGCCACTTGTGATGTAATAAGCTAGCAGGGAATGTTCCCACAACTTTGGCTAAGCTCTAAAAATGTTTTAAAGAAAACCTTTTCATCTAATGTTCAAAAAACATTTAAAGATTTATCATTTAAAAAATGTTCCTACACATTTAAATCTAATTTAATTTAATTAGGATGTAATGTTTTAGCTGCTACATTCAGAGGATGTTGTAAGGATGTCTGTGAGGATGCTGTGAGGATGCTGTGAGGATGTTGTGAGGATGTTGTAAGGATGTTGTGAGGATGCTGTGAGGATGTTGTGAGGATGCTGTGAGGATGCTGTGAGGATGTGAGGATGTAAGGATGCTGTGAGGATGTTGTGAGGATGTTGTGAGGATGCTGTGAGGATGTGAGGATGTAAGGATGTTGTGAGGATGCTGTGAGGATGTTGTGAGGATGCTGTGAGGATGTTGTGAGGATGTTGTGAGGATGTTGTAAGGATGCTGTGAGGATGCTGTGAGGATGCTGTGAGGATGCTATGAGGATGTAAGGATGTTGTGAGGATGCTGTGAGGATATGAGGATGTAAGGATGTTGTGAGGATGCTGTGAGGATGTTGTGAGGATGTTGTGAGGATGTTGTGAGGATGTTGTAAGGATGTTGTGAGGATGCTGTGAGGATGCTGTAAGGATGTGAGGATGCAAGGATGTTGTGAGGATGCTGTGAGGATGCTGTGAGGATGTAAGGATGTTGTGAGGATGCTGTGAGGATGTTGTGAGGATGCTGTGAGGATGCTGTAAGGATGTTGTGAGGATGCTGTGAGGATGTGAGGATGTAAGGATGTTGTGAGGATGCTGTGAGGATGCTCTGAGGATGCTGTGAGGATGCTGTGAGGATGTGAGGATGTAAGGATGTTGTGAGGATGTTGTGAGGATGCTGTGAGGATGCTGTGAGGATGTTGTGAGGATGCTGTGAGGATGCTGTGAGGATGTTGTGAGGATGCTGTGAGGATGCTGTGAGGATGTTGTGAGGATGCTGTGAGGATGCTGTGAGGATGCTGTGAGGATGTTGTAAGGATGTTGTGAGGATGTTGTAAGGATGTTGTAAGGATGTTGTGAGGATGTTGTAAGGATGCTGAGAGGATGTAAGGATGCTGTGAGGATGTAAGGATGCTGTGAGGATGCTGTGAGGATGTAAGGATGCTGTGAGGATGCTGTGAGGATGCTGTGAGGATGTTGTGAAGATGCTGTGAGGATTTGAGGATGGTGTAAGGATGCTGGGAGGATGCTGTGAGGATGTTGTAAGGATGTTGTGAAGATGTGTGGATGTTGTAAGGATGCTGTGAGGATGCTGTAAGGATGTTATGAGGATGTGAGGATGCTGTGTGGATGTTGTAAGGATGTTGTGAGGATGCTGTGAGGATGTTGCAAGGATGTGAGAATGTTGCGAGGATGCTGCGAGGATGTTAAGAGTATGCTGTGAGGATGTTGTGAGGATGTAAGGATGTTGGGAGGATGTTGCAAGGATGTGAGGATGCTGCAAGGATGCTGCGAGGATGTTAAGAGTATGCTGTGAGGATGTTTTGAGGATGCTGTGAAGATGTTATGAGGATGTTGTAAGGATGTAGCGAGGATGTTATGAGGATGCTGTGAGGATGCTGTAAGGATGCTCTGAGGATGTTGTGAGGATGCTGTGAGGTGCTGTCAGGATGTTGTGAGGATGCTGTGAGGTGCTGTCAGGATGTTGTGAGGATGTTGTGAGGATGCTATCAGGGACAAAGATTATGTTACATGACGATGTTTTCAGATAACGTTCCTAGAAGAACATTCTAGAAGCAAAATAAAAACTTCCCACTCAAAACATTAATAGAACATGTGTGTAATGTTCTCAGAAAAATAGAGCAAACATTTATAGTGGTTATGTCAGTCCACACCAACTTATACATGTTCGGCATCAATTTCAGACAAAAACAAAGTGGCAGCTGCCTCTCTTCACTGTTCACTGTTTTCACTGCACACAGGATCATTTACACACTGTAATCTTGCTGTACCCTCAACTTGAAATCTGCTAAGAAAAGAAACTCCCTCAGATTTGTTCGATACAGTCATTTTCACAATAAAAACAACAGAAACGCCAACCAGCATGACGGAACTCTGAATATTACTGGTTGGCCTGTTAGCCAGTTAGCTTTCTGCTGAGCTGATTGCTAAACTAAACCATGTTCTTGTGTAAGGTATGCTCACAAACTACTCTTAAACACACCATTAAAAACAAACACTAAGATCTGAGATCAGATGTACTTAGTTTTTCAGATAAATAGGTAATTTCTTTGAAATAATGAAGCAGATAGAATAGATTAGGCTATTATTGTATCAGCATTAACATTGTAACTTTTAACGAAATTAAATAAAACATGTACACATGAAATGCCTGTAAACTAGACGTGGCTGAAGGATCATGCAGCGCATTTTTCTCAAACTGCCTGTTTGTGTTTAAATCTACAGAAGAGTGTTTCATAGATATAGTATGTAGTGCTGATCACTCACTTACACCCCCCACCCCTGATGGCCTACGAATCTTGTTTTAGTGCTTTCAGTGGCCAGTCAACTGCACACTGGAATTAGGCACATTGAATCTACAAGATTTTGAAAAATGAAGATTTATTATCTTATTAAAAAACACAACATTTCCATTGTTTATAAAACACAGAGATGTTATTTTTGTCTACGACATTGCATATATGTATATAATATATTGATTAATTGATTACATATAAATCTATGTAATATGTAATATAGCTTATGTAATGTTTTCTGGCTTGTTTTCATCAATGACCTCTATTGATTCAAATAAATAAATGAATTGATTCAAAAATGAGTCTGTACACAGTATACAGTAGCGCTGTCAGCAATCTAGAACTCTAGTATGTATGTATGTATCTGTGGTTACTAAACACTGTGCCGAAACCAGGATGTGGTAAAACCTCATTAGTCCATCAGGAGCTCTCACTGTGAGGAAATTAACTAACCTACTGAACTTCTCTATCAGCACCTTACTACACAGAACACACTCACATCAGACACTGAGTGTGTTTACACTTAATAATCTGATAACTGCAGAAAATCAGATTGTGTCAGTAACTGGTACAGTGCGTTTACGCTTAATAATCTAATAACTGCAGAGAATCAGATTGTGTCAGTCACTGGTTCAGTGTGTTTTCATGCTCTTGAGTAATCAGATGATGGGGAAACTGTGGGTCTACATGAGTCAGGCAGTAACTGGATTTCTGCTTTACAACCAGCCAATAAACTCACAGAGTAAAACGTGACATAAATGTAAAACTTCATGAGCAGCTTTTTTTAAAACATTGAGTCACTTTAGCTGAAAATATGAACAAACATCATCCAGAAAATGAAGAATATTTAAAACCCTCATTTGATCGAGCTTGTAGTTGTTCGTTGCTCCAAAAGTATTGTGCTGCGTCTGGCGGGTGCTGTGTTAAATGCTCCTTTCTGTTTCCAGGACAGCGCTGTTTTTACACATGCACAGACTGAGAGAAATTAAGGAAATCAGAGTGAGGGTTTACATGCACTGAAAAACCCCATTACTGAGCTCAAATCCAGCCTCTTTATCAGATTTCTTAATCAGATTTACAGACCTTAATCTGATCTAAGAAATCAGTGTGTGTTTACATGCTCTAACTATGATGCTCTCCTTGCAGTAAAAATTCTTGCAGGAGTACTCATGAACAGACTGGTGCCCGAACGAGGGAATGTACATCACTTTTGTTGAAGTCAATAAAGTGTCTGATACTGTGAGTAGGAAAGGTCTGTGGCAAATCATGGAACAACTACGATGTCCCCCAAAGTTCCTCAACATGATCATTCAGCTACATGAAGACCAGCATGGCCAAGGCACAACTGGCAACAGTGTAAAGCAGCTCTGCATCCTCGCATGACTCTCTTCACGATTTTCTTCAGCATGATGCTCTAAAGGGCCACAGCCAAAGTGTGAAATACAAGGGGTCCTGGGGGTCTGGGAGGCCTTATTTTTAACCTTTTGGGCCCCTTGAATATCTCAAAATCAAAATTCTGGGGGGTCCCTGAAAATAAACGCTATGCTGTCTGTTAGGGGTAAAACAGACACTCAAATACAGATTTATCTGCTTCACCCACAATCAGCTTCTGTCTTTGGTGTTCTTACGTAACTAGAGCTGCAGCACTGCTCTGCCTCAGGGTGGCGCTGTAGCAGACTGGTTCACCCAGTTGGTCCTACATAGTCTAGAAACTGTAAATCTGCCTGGATTCCTCTAAAAACTTTACAATGTGCTGCAGATCTGTAAATCTGAAAACTCGCCCAGTTTCCCAAGAGTTTGGAGTGAAGAGTGACTGTTCCTCATTTCTCACACTGAAGACAGAAGAGATGAGCGAGATAAAAATAGAAAAAATTGAGATACATGGTTTTCTTTGGACAGCGACAATTTATAAAATGTATAAACTGAGACTAAATTCTGGATTATCATCACAGAGGAATATTACACTCATTAGTGCAGAGTTACAAATGCAGTAAAATAAATAAAATGCAGATATTTTACTGCAGTGTCACCTATAAACCAATAAACACATTATCACGCATCAGTCTGGCATTTCAGTCTAATATAAACATTTAAAGTCAGAATAATAGCAAATACCTTTCATACTGATATGATTCTGATGTTAAATGAACCAAAACATGAGTGAACACAGCTTTAAATGGAATTAACTGTAGGGTTTATTCTGGAAATATACAGCACAAACACAAGAGCACTAAAAAGAGCATTACAAATTCACATTCATACATATTTATAAAGATATAAAAAGGGAGCTAGAATGACACAGAATACAAACCAGTTCAGTTCTGCCACCAATATTGACCCTAATTTTAGTGTTTTGATCAGTTTCAGTTTGTTCACATTAAAATCTGTAATGAAGACAGATGGATCTGTAAAACGACAATAACAGGAATGCACTGTTTAATAATCAACTAAAACAGATTAATACAGAATTACAGATCTGTTGAGTGAGTCTTCAGTGCTGGTTTGGACTGAAAAGAAGTCCGGAGTTAAAGTGTAAACAACGTCTGTGCGCTAAACTGCTTCTGTAAACCCTGTTTTAACTCTACAACCTAAACTGATGATAATGAGAGTACTGATCTCCTAATGACATCACAGTCATAACTGCTAACACAGGCTTTTATAGAGAAAAACAGACCCAAACGTAAAAAGATCTAAACTCTGAACTGTCCCCACAGTTCACAAAAGTGATTAAATATAAAATATAGATATAAAATACTTTTGCCCTTCCTAAAAAATTACAATTCCTGTTACTTCCTATGAAAAAAGTGCATCCCAGTTTATACTGTTTATAAAAGTCCTGTTAAAAAAATCAGAAAATTTTTAATAACTTTATAATAACCCAATACAAATGATACAGAACGTAAACAAACAGAACATCAGATTATACAGTTCTGTTTGCTGAAGTTCTGCGGAGAAAATTTTGATGAACACTGCTCATCAAAAGTTTGGAGACACCACTTTAGTGCTGACGATGTTTTCTTTGTCAGTGGCCAAATTAAAGCCTATTCATGGTTAATTTACAGTTAAACTATATCATACATCTAAATATAAGTGCCAACAATAGTGGCAGTACTAGTTTGAGAAAGCCATAGGCCACGCCCACTTTATCCCCTTGTTATGATGTCAGAACTTGAACCCTACAGGTTTTTAAACCACCTTTTGGACCAAAAGAGCTTTAGCCAATCACCCCCCCTGATTAAAACTACCCAGAGCATTAGCACGCAGCTGCCTTATGATCACTGAGCTAAATCCTAAAAAAGGAATGGTGTCCTCAAACGCATGTTGTGCAGTGTTCACATATACAGGCTATATATACTCATACAGTGTGTGTCATGTGCTAAACAGTCATGTCATAATTAAACTCCTACTTTAATAAGTGCTTGTGATTTGCGTATATGACCCCTTTGTACCGTATCTCTCAGCTCTGCTTGGCCGGCTGCTCGATCAGTTTGCCTTTGTGGTATTTCTGCCCTATCCCATAAGGTACGTGGGCCGCGATGGTGCCCAGCTCCTTTGCTCCCTCAATGTGAAACATCTGGTCGTCGAAGAAGATGTGTGGACGTATCTTCTGCAGTAGAGGTCCTTTCGGAGCTCCGGCGAGGAACAGAGCCTCGTCAATCTCCAGCCCCCAGCTCCTCAGGGTCTTTAGCACTCGCACCCCCGAACTTGCCGCGCTACGTGCCGTCACTAGGTATGTCCTGATTGGGCAGTTCAGACGCTCATTCTTAGCATAAAACTTCTTCTGGAGCTTCCCCAAAGCCTCCAGGAAACACTTCAGTGGACCCTGTAAAAAACAGAAAATCAGTCAGCCTTTACTTATTTATATAATTATCAGGGACAGTGTGCCTTATACCTTTCTTCAGTAGATGCTGAGTAAATCATAGTAGATACTGAATAATTCATAGTTGACACTAAATAATTCATAGTAGATACTGAAAAATTTGTAGTAGATATTGAATAATTCATAGTAGACACTGAATAATTCATAGTAGACACTGAATAATTCATAGTAGACGCTGAATAATTCATAGTAGACGCTGAATAATTTACAGTAGACACTGAATAATTCATAGTAGACGCTGAATAATTCATAGTAGACGCTGAATAATTCATAGTAGACGCTGAATAATTTATAGTAGACACTGAATAATTCATAGTAGACACTGAATAATTCATAGTAGACGCTGAATAATTTATAGTAGACACTGAATAATTCATAGTAGACACTGAATAATTCATAGTAGATACTGAAGAATTCACAGTAGATACTAAATAATTAATAGTAGATGCTGAATAATTCATAGTATACACTGAATAATTATTAGTAGATGCTGAATAATGCAGAGCAGATTCTAATAATTCTTACTGAAAGAAGCAAAAAGAATTTAGGAATAGAAGGAAAAGAAGAAGAAGGAGAATAAAAGGAATGAGATCAGAAGAAGAGAGGTGGAACCTGAGCAAGTGGTTTGTTCTCGTTCTGCCTCTCGTGATCGAAGAACATGTCAAGGCCGTGCTCCTTGACGATGATCTCGGACTCGTCTGAGAAGAGCACAGCGTCTCCATCGAAGGCCACGCGCAACTGGGTCTCGCTCAGCTCCGTCTCCACGTCCGGAGTGAACATGGTGGCTGCAGCGATGCCTGAAGAACAGCAGCTTCAAACATCAACACCGAGAACCTAACAGAACCCAAGTCCAGTTCTGTTTCTGACTGACGCCCCAGCCCCCCCGGCTGCCCCTCCCACCCCAACCACGGTGAACTTCACACCTGCATCACAAACGTGTGACTCACAACCATGGAGACAGTACAGACCCTGCTGTGGTTACGTGCTAAGTAGCTAAAAACCTTGAACTCACAAACAGCCAAGCTACACTTAGATAACTAACAGATTGCTCTGCTGTCAGGTTTAGCTAAGCTAACATTAGTTATTGTCAGCTAGCATTAACTTTAGTTTTAGCGATTTTGGTTTGCACTGATAATAAAATGATCACACACTGCTCAATAAAATATATTCAAAACTAATTTATCAGACTTTGAATTATTAATAAAGCCACACGTTCAACTGATGCATTAGCTGGTTAAATCTCCCACAGCAAATGGCCAGCTATCAGACTTACAAGCCTTTTGAAGCTACTGCCACCTACAGGAGTTCAGTAAGTACTGCATCTACATGAAATGAGTTCAAATGAATATCAATCAATAGATGAATAGACACAAGTATTAATCCAAAATCGAGATTCTCCTGTAAACAACCCAAACCTTTAAGAATTATAGAATTACAGATTACAGAACTCACCTGCTTCGATGGCCTCCTGCACTTTGTCCGAGTCCTTGGACAGGTACAGGTTGGTCATGTAGGCCTTCAGGTAACCGATCGGGCTTTTTCCCCCCGTCATACAGAAGCGCTCTATCAGCAGATCTGTTACACACAGAAAACAGAGACCAAATTTACACTGAGTGTTCATATAAGGATATATTCTGTCATTTTTTCTTTAATCTATATTCAATATTGTATATTAACTAAAATCTTGGTGCGGTCCAGAGGAGGATGGGTTCCCTTCTTGAGTCTCCGTTCCTCTCAAGGGTTCTTCCTCTTGCTTTGAGGAGGTTTCCCTTGCCACTGTTGCCCTTGGTGATAGGGATGGGAATCAAGAACCAGTTAAGACCTGTTACAAATTGTCTGATGCATCAGAATCATGTGGCTCCTTATATGCAACAGTGGCAGGAAAAACTCCCTCAGGGCAAAAGGCGCAGGCAGGCCATAGGAATTTCAGGTTTGTTAAACTGGTTTAATCGCTATTTGACTGGGCGTAAGGAATGTGTAACCTTGGGTGGGCTTTCCTCACCTTTTAAGGTCATTACTTCAGGTGTACCCCAGGGGTCAGTATTAGGTCCTATCCTGTTCCTCTGGAAAGTATTTTTCATAAGCATAAAATTTGTTTTCATTGCTTTGCTGATGACAAACACAGCCAAACTCACTGTTTTCCTCATCTCAGGCTACTAGGTTCCTGGAGGATATTCACGGTTGGGTGGCCAGAAATTAGGGTTTGGGTTTTCTGTAAAGCTACTTGCTACATAAATAAATTTTGAATTAAATTGAATTATTCCAGTATTCATCAGGTGGGCACGGTGGACACTCAGGTTGAAGCCTGCTGACCATAGTGGCCACACAAAGAAGCAGCAAAGGTACTGCAAAGAAAAGACCTAAAACCACATTTTCAGTTTTCATAAAGTGATAAAAAGTAAAAGACAATTAAAGAAAAAACTGATGAAGGAAACTAAACTAGAATAAACTTACAGGCAAAACTAACTCTGAAAATAATGTTATACTCTCTTTCTCTCTCTCCTGCTTCGGCTGGAGGGATACATGCAGGGTGCTGTGCGGCAAAATAGTCGCCAAAGAAAACTTATTATTTCAGATTTTCCACTATTTTCCCATCATCAATACGTCTATATTTGTGTTGTAGTCATGGCGACCCCTGGTTCCTGTCACCACCACTGTAAAGACATCTGAACCATTTCACACCAAAGCACTCTGAATCACTCTGTTTATCTAAATAATGGGGAAATTTTGAAAAATCGGTGGAAATCCCCTTTAATTCATCTACTAACTGGTGGAGGAGAACTCGCCCAAAACCCATAAACATTACAGTAAGAACATGGCAGTAAGAAGGATGATCACATTCAGCTCCATAAATACAACTTAACTTGATAATATTTTAAAAATAAAGTTCCTCTTCTCTGATTCAATAAAGATTAAACTGTATTAAACTGTATTAAAGTGCCACCCAGACATTGTTATTGGTTTAAAATGATCAGATCAGTTTGGGTTTGATATTAATATTAGACTGAAATGTGCAGGACTGGTCTGTTTCTGTTTCAAACACACCACACTTTAAACTATTATTATCATTGTGATGACAGTGTGTGAGAGTGAGTGTGAGATCGTACCATAGTGATTAATGCTGTTGATGAGCCGGACCCCCACCTGCGCATGGTTGTTGGTCATCAGAACGATATCAAACAGCTCCTCACTGTCGGGGTACAGAGTCCTGAGCCGAGAGTTCACCTTCATCAGAGCCTGCAGGACAGCACCGTTACAGTAATAGTAATAATAATAATGATAATAATAATAATATGTCTCGTGTATAACATACATTATGTAGCCTATATTGATGCATTGTGACTAATATATCAGCTTGTTTTGAGCATTAGATCAACACACTATAAAGCACAACTTATGTTTGTACTTCTTATATTGTACTTTTATGATGTTGAATGCTGTAATAAGTTAAAAATGGAAACAGTAACATATTAATATGAGGCACATTTTCAGATTCTCTTTATGTTTGTTGTTTTACAAAAACGTATTTAATTAAATTCTGAATTTTGTGAGTCATTACACTCCTATGAAGTATCTATTGATAATAATAATGTTCCCCATAGGTATAACATGTTCCATAGGTATTACATGTATGTAAGTACCTATATGTAACAATCACAATGTCTCTATGCATCATATATGCATATATATATATATATATATATATATATATATATATATATACACATATATGTGTGTGTGTGTGTGTGTGTGTGTGTGAGACTGTATGTATATACACATATCTGTCAATGCATGTCTCACCTTGACGAAAGGAAAAGCTGCTCCAGGCTTCAGAGGTTCCTCCTCGTGCTCCTGCTGGTAAGACACATACCTCTCGAGCCCTTCCTGCTCCCACACCCTCCTCTCGTCTACCATGTTAAACAGGGTGCGCGAGGACACCGCGATGGTCACTGCAGTGCTGGGTTTGGGCTGGACACACACACAAGATAAGAACACAGAACACACAATATGAGAGAACATACACACACACAGCTGCTGTACAGAGCTTGGTCTACAGACAGTTAAGTCAGTAAATTAATGAAACAGCTCGTGTCTTTTATTACTGTTCGGTGTCGTTTTATGTTGTGTTTTCACTACACAATTAAGTAATAAGGCTGTAATCTAAACTGAGCGAAATAAAGATACATAAAGAGAGTTTAAGTTAATTGACAATTCGAATAAGAAGCCAGTAGGAGGCTCGTCAGAAGAGCTGCTCTACTTACAGGTCTCGGTTTTTTAGTCTTTAGACTGTCATAAAAAGCTTTGGCCGCTGCCCAGTCCTTCTCTGCTCCGTTCTCATCACCCGCACTGACCGCAGATGCTTCGTTGCGTTTAATATCGCTCATATTTGCACTGTTAATCAACAGAAAAGCTCTGTAAACTGTAAACAAAGCCTCTCTTCGTACTTCCCTGTTGGCAAATCTGATGGGGAAGTGAATGAGAAGGAGATTCAGGCTGTTCCCTGGTTCCGCCAGCAGAGGGCACAGCGCACAGTGGCGCTCTACGCCAAACCAGTCTGATTACTGGAAAAATCCAGAAGTGCAAGGAAGTCGCTGTGAAATACTCGTGTACAGTCAGAGCGAAAAGCTGGGGAGGAAAATTTAAAAATCTATAGTTTCCATTGTATAGATTGGAAGAAAACACACATACATTTCATTTATGTACTAGCAGGACTGCACAGTGGCAGTTTTCTAAAGCTGTATGTCTGTGTGAAGTTACGGAGCCCCGTAGGGGTCGCTAACGAGAACAAAAAATGTGAGGAGGAAAACCTGTCCCCGCAGTTTAGTAATCCGTATTCTCAGCTTATAAATCGTGCCCACGCATTTGTAAACTGAGAGCACAGTGTACAAACCCGCCGGTACAGTTTTGCTAACCGAGAGTACAGTTTACAAATCCGTGGGCACAGTTTATAAACTGAGAGTACGGATTACTAAACTGCGGGGACAGATTTTCTTCCTCACAATTTTTTTTCCTCGTTAGTGACCCCTACGGGGCTTCGTATGAAGTTGTATATGTGAGTTTTGGTGTAAATCTAATGGGGAAGACGATGTAGTAACAGATGGCTGACCTACAGTCGTCCAGCAGGGGGCGCCGTGCACTGCGCTAAAGCAATCTGACAGCATCAGTTTGAATGGAACATACAGTAGCTGGCCACTTTATTGGAAACACGCACCTTGTGCTTCCATTAACTGGCCGCTTTATTAGAAACACCCACCTTGTGCTTCCACTCACTGGCCACTTTATTAGAAACATTCACCTTGTGCTTCCACTCACTGGCCACTTTATTAGAAACACCCACCTTGTGCTTCCACTAACTGGCCACTTTATTAGAAACAACTACCTTGTGCTTCCACTAACTGGCCACTTTATTAGAAACACCCACCTTGTGCTTCCACTAACTGGCCACTTTATTAGAAACACCCACCTTGTGCTTCCACTAACTGGCCACTTTAGTAGAAATACCCACCCTGTGCGTCCCCTAACTGGCCACTTTAGTAGAAACACCCACCTTGTGCTTCCACTAACTGGCCACGTTATTAGAAACACCCACCTTGTGCTTCCACTAACTGGCCACTTTATTAGAAACACCCACCTTGTGCTTCCACTAACTGGCCACTTTATTAGAAATACCCACCCTGTGCGTCCCCTAACTGGCCACTTTAGTAGAAACACCTACCTTGTGCTTCCACTCACTGGCCACTTTATTAGAAACACCTACCTTGTGCTTCCACTAACTGGCCACTTTAGTAGAAACACCCACCTTGTGCTTCCACTCACTGGCCGCTTTATTAGAAACACCCACCCTGTGCTTCCACTAACTGGCCGCTTTAGTAGAAACACCTACCTTGTGCTTCCACTCACTGGCCACTTTATTAGAAACACCCACCCTGTGCGTCCCCTAACTGGCCACTTTAGTAGAAACACCTACCTTGTGCTTCCACTCACTGGCCACTTTATTAGAAACACCTACCTTGTGCTTCCACTCACTGGCCACTTTATTAGAAACACCTACCTTGTGCTTCCACTAACTGGCCACTTTAGTAGAAACACCCACCTTGTGCTTCCACTCACTGGCCGCTTTATTAGAAACACCCACCCTGTTCTTCCACTAACTGGCCACTTTAGTAGAAACACGCACCTTGTGCTTCCACTCACTGGCCGCTTTATTAGAAACACCCACCTTGTGCTTCCACTAACTGGCCACTTTATTAGAAACACCCACTTTATTCTTCCACTAACTGGCCACTTTATTAGAAACATTCACCTTGTGCTTCCACTCACTGGCCACTTTATTAGAAACACCTACCTTGTGCTTCCACTCACTGGCCACTTTATTAGAAACACCTACCTTGTGCTTCCACTAACTGGCCACTTTAGTAGAAACACCCACCTTGTGCTTCCACTCACTGGCCGCTTTATTAGAAACACTCACCTTGTGCTTCCACTAACTGGCCACTTTATTAGAAACACCCACCTTGTGCTTCCACTAACTGGCCACTTTATTAGAAACACCCACCTTGTGCTTCCACTAACTGGCCACTTTATTAGAAACACCCACTTTATTCTTCCACTAACTGGCCACTTTATTAGAAACATTCACCTTGTGCTTCCACTCACTGGCCACTTTATTAGAAACACCCACCTTGTGCTTCCACTAACTGGCCACTTTATTAGAAATACCCACCCTGTGCGTCCACTAACTGGCCACTTTAGTAGAAACACCTACCTTGTGCTTCCACTCACTGGCCACTTTATTAGAAACACCTACCTTGTGCTTCCACTAACTGGCCACTTTAGTAGAAACACCCACCTTGTGCTTCCACTCACTGGCCACTTTATTAGAAACACCCACCTTGTGCTTCCACTAACTGGCCACTTTATTAGAAACACCCACCTTGTGCTTCCACTAACTGGCCACTTTATTAGAATTACCCACCCTGTGCGTCCCCTAACGGGCCACTTTAGTAGAAACACCTACCTTGTGCTTCCACTCACTGGCCACTTTATTAGAAACACCTACCTTGTGCTTCCACTAACTGGCCACTTTAGTAGAAACACCCACCTTGTGCTTCCACTCACTGGCCGCTTTATTAGAAACACCCACCCTGTGCTTCCACTAACTGGCCGCTTTATTAGAAACACCCACCCTGTGCTTCCACTAACTGGCCACTTTAGTAGAAACACTCACCTATTTCTACACATATTTTCTTTACCCAAAAAAACATTATTATAATTATCTTTTTTTATTAACAATGGTATTAGCATAATAATAACAACAACAACAACAACAATAATAATAATAATAACAACAACAATAATAATTATTATTTTTATTATTTTTATTATTATTATTATTATTATTATTATTATTAAGGTTTTTATGTCATCAAGTCAAGTATGTGTTCAAATATTTTGCTGACGTTTGAGACCACATACGCAAAGTGCGCGTGTGTATGTTTGCAGAGGCACGTGCTTCAGTGTCCCATTCAGCACTGCCCCCCCTCCACTCTGTGGTCAGTAGATGTGAGCAGCATCATGGCGATGATAGAAGGTGAGTAAGACAGTCGGTTCTGTGTTTATGCCTGAGATTATTGATCAGATCTGTATCTGAATACTGAACATATTTCATTCTGTTTAACTGTCCCGCTGCTGTTGCTGCTGCTTTGATGTTTGTGAGGTCACCGCGGATGTGTTTGGACACACGCACACGCACACCTGCTCGCGCTGTATAGCGATATATGGAGATGTAGCATCGGCATTAGCGACAGTTTTAAACCTTAATCGCACTGTTTGTGTTAAATTGACCCCTAAACTGCAGCGATGCGTGTCGCTTAGAGTCAGTAAAATACACACGGTCCCTTAATGCTGATTTACTTCCTGTCAGGGTCTTTTTTTTATTTTTCCGTTCCACCTTAAATGGTGCACCACAGAGGAAAAAAATGAGAAAGAAGCCAAGCTGGTTCTGATGAGCTCTTATGGATCGTTTTTACAGCATTTGTAAACTGTTTATAAATCCTTTATTTTTAGACAAAACACCATAACATGGTGTCTGAAAACCACTAGAAGGCACCCACTCAATGAATGGACGTGGGCTAAAATGTTAATTAAATGTTTCTAGTCTGATTGGTTAGCATTACTGCTACTGAGTGCTGATTGGTTAGCATTACTGATATTGAGTGCTGATTAATTAGCTTTGCTGCTATTGAACGCGGATTGGTTAGCATTATTGCTATTGCATTCTGACTAGTTACTGGTACTCCTACTGAGTGCTGATTGGTTAGCATTCCTGCTACTAAGCAGTGAGAATATCGTCCGTGTCGAACTATTTCACAGTTTCACTACAAGAACCAATAGACACCAGATTTATAACCTCTGCTCACGTGGAGCATCAAGATGCCCAAGAACTTCAGAACCTGAAAACAGAACACAACAGAACAGCAGGAGCATACACCATCTATACACTGTATGTTTTCACATGATGAAAACATTCAGGAACCACAGAGCAGCAAACACACACACACACCATGTAAACCACTTATCCTTCTGGGTCACGGTGGGGTGCTGGAGCCTATCCCAGCTATCATTGGGCAAAAGGCAGGATACACCCTGGACAGGTTGCCAGTCATACACAAACATTCACACCTAGGGGCAATTCAGCATGTCCAATTGGCCTGACTGCATGTCTTTGGACTGTGGGAGGAAACCCACGCAGACACGGGGAGAACATGCAAACTCCACCTCGAACCCAGGCCATTCTTGCTGTGAGGCGACAGCGCTACCCACTGCACCACCGTGCCGCCCCAGAACAGCAAACATACTAATCATTTTTCATACATTTATGTTATCGTAAACTATTTATTTAGCTTCTTTTACAGTTTATCGAAATTTACATTTGGTGCATCACTGATGCTTATAAATGTTTCTTAAGGTAACTAAGAACACTTTACATAGAAATATAATGAGTTGCATATTTAAATGTCAGATAGAAAAAGTAATAATAATAAAGAGTTTAACAGCAAATATGGCACTTAAAGGTAAAAAGCACATTTTTGAAAGTTTAGAGAGAGAAATAGAAAAAAGAAAAAACAGTAATATAAAGCAGAGAAGGTAAGCAGTAATACTGAGCTGTATTTATGTCTGTGGAGTCACTGATCTGGTGTGTGTTCAGCAGGAGGTCGAGGGTGTGGAGTTCACGAGCTCATCTGTGCCAGACGAGGTAAGAGTTTAAGAGCTTCCTGCACTGTTAGCACTGTTATAGTGAATGAAGAAGTCTGGGGGCGGGTCAAATGCCCCCCCTTCTTTTGAATTATAAATGACATATCAAGTGTGTTAGACAAAAACAAGCTTCATTATTATTTCAGAGTCGAGATTGTGTTTCTGGAGGAGGAACGATGTGTAAACAGTGCAGAACTTCTCTCGCTTAACCGCTCAGATTTAAATAATCATGTCCTACTTTCTCCATTTCCGCACGCTGTGTCCTGAAGATACACTGGATACACTCATTACACAACACAGTACCACAAAACACAAACACAACGCAACGTAACAGCACAACACAAACACACAGGTCAGCACCGCACAGCATAACACAGCACATCTCATCACAGCGCAGAACAGCAGAGCAAAACACAACACAAACACAACACTATACAAACACAGCACAGCACAACACAATACAATGCAAAAACAACACAACACAGCACCGCAAAAACACAAACACACTCAGGTCAGCGCAACACAAACACACTCAGGTCAGCACAACACAAACAGACTCAGGTCAGCACAACACAGCACAGCACAGCACAACACAACACAACACAGTGCAACATAACACAACACAACACAGTGCAACACAGCACAGCTCAGCACAGCACAACACAGCACAGCACATCACATCACAGCACAACACAATGTAACATAACACAGCACAGCACAACACAAACACACCACAATACAAACAATGCAACAAAACACAAACACAACAAGACCAGCAAGTAACCTAATCAGAATTCAACAGTCCTGTTTAAGATGTTATGAAGATGCCACATAATAGTCCACAATGACATAATAAACAGTGATTCATATGTCTGACTGCAGATGGAAGCAGACTGTAGACTGTAAGTTATATGGTACCAATTTTGCACATTGTCACTGCTAGCCTTAGCTAGCATAAAAGCTAACTGTGCTAGCTTCTGCTGCAGCCAGAATTTGCTGGAATCTAAAAGAAAAAAATATGTATTTGGAGTTATGAAATGAATTTACATACGTCAAAGTCACTGCTAGTTTTATCTAGCAGCTAATTGTGTTAGTGTCTGCGGCTTGAAGTTTCTGGAAGCTGAAAATCATGAATGTGAACTGGTAAACAAATATAGGCACAATATTCCAATCACAGTATTCAGAAACAAATGCATTAAAAGGTGTTAAATGTTTTTGTTTAATGTACTTTAGTGTTTGGAATACATGTTGGAAGCAGACAATGTTTTTGAATCTAAATATATATGGGAAAATTGGAAATTATGAAATAATGAATCCTTTATCGAACATTAGCCCTAAGGCACTGCTAGCACTTGCTAAAAGCTAACTGTGCTAGCTTCTGCTGCTGGAAGTTTCTGGAATCTCTCTCTGTCCTCAGAGGGTTGAAACTTATTTTATATTACAGCCCAAATTACAGAATTCGCTGAACTCTGCATGCTGCTCCACTCCAGCAGCTCTCGTTATGGAGACATTAGAGACGTTAGCGTGCTGGTCTGACCGTGGTTGGAGAGTGATGGTTGAGTAAGATGGTGGACGTTTCTGAGCTGTGCTGTGTGGATATGGAGGGTGTCAGGTTAACTCTACACTAATGAATTATTCACCGCTGGGAGAGATAGACTGGGTACTAGTGTTCCAGACTCACCTGTTTTCACAGGTAAAGCGTATTATCAGAAACAGAGCTGAGGGATATAAAACGGTTTATTACGGTATATCACCATATCTGGAATATCTGCAGACTGAACACTCTGGACTGAAGAGGTTTACAGTGAGAACACTGGACACTGAGGTTTGCCTTTTTTTCTCTCCACTAAATGCGTCCTAACGCAGCTAAAGCTGATGGACTGTGAATGAATGTAAACTGGGTTTGAGTTTTTTATGTATGTTTGATGCCTTTACTCCACTGTCTTTAATATTTCTTTTAGATTGTCCTCGTGGCCTTGTTGGTGTTGTAGCACAGAAACAGAAACAGGAGTGACAAATACTCGAGTAATTGTACTTAATTAATGTATAACCATATAGTTACACTTTGTACCTCTACAGTTACAGACTGTAGTCCATCTGTTTCTCGGCATTCTTTGCTATCCTGTTCTTCAATGGTCAGGACCCCCACAGAGCAGGTATTTGGTGGGTGGTGGGTCATTCTTAGCACTGCAGTAACACTGACGTGGTGGTGGTGTGTTAGTGTGTGTTGTGCTGGTGCGAGTGGATCAGACACAGCAGTGCTGCTGGAGTTTTTAAACACTGTGTCCACTCACTGTCCACTCTATTAGACACTCCTACCTTGTTGGTCCACGTTGTAGATGTAAAGTCAGAGACGATAGCTCATCTGCTGCTGCGCAGTTTGTGTTGGCCATCCTCTAGTCCTTCATCAGTGGTCACAGGATGTTGCCCACAGGACACTACTATTTTTTGTTGGTCTGTTTATCATAAAATTTTACCAAAATGTAAATGACAGCTGGCGTTTTTAAAATTATGCACAAATTTGTTTTGTTCAGACAGTAAGATATGTGCATACATTTCAACATATTGTTATATGTACATATATTGGCATATATTTAAATATTTAAAAATGACACCTTCAAGTATATTTAGTACATATGTTTTACAACATCAGTGCACAGATATTACAGATGTTTTTTTAGTATTACAAGATCATATATTTTTCTTCCATACAGGCTGTGCTTTTTTATGTTTATATTTTTATTTACACCTTCAAAGTACAAACGTACAGGAGATTTTTTTCATGTAACTGATGTTTGTGTTGTTTTCTCAAGTTCTGCGTTTGAATTATTGTTTTTTATTAAATTATCTAGAAGTGTTTAAATGTAGATACTTGACTTTTACTCAAATATATATTTGCCTTCATACTTTTAATTGAGTGAGATTCTGCCAGTGTCTCCTGTATCTGTGTGTGTTTCTGGGTCTTTTTTCATTCTTTCTTTCTTTCTTTCTTTCTTTCTTTCTTTCTTTCTTTCTCTCTCTCTCTCTCTTTCTCTCTGTCCTCAGTGTCACCTGAGCTGCTCGGTGTTCTCTCCTCCATCGCTGTCTTCATGGCTGTGATCGCATTATTTTTTCTTTACCTCAGCAACAAGCTTTCAGTGGAGCCCTCGGAGAGTCTCGCGTGTTTCGAAGGTTATACGAAGGAGTTAAAAGGTAAATATCTGTGGTAGTTCTTTCCATGTGCACGTAAAGCTCATATATGTTGGTATGTTCCATGTGTGTTTTGTGGCAGTTATTTCTGCACAGAAATGTTAGCAATTGGAGTAAAACTCCAACTTTACAGACTAATTGACTACGCCTTAATTTCAGCATGTTTTCCTGAACTTAAAAAAGAACAGAAAACGTCTATTAAAGCATCTATCAAATCATTAGTGATTATCAACACTGAATTAACTCCAGAATGTTCAGTCTGACTGTGAGATGTGGGCTTAAATTCAGCTGTTTGGAACCTTATAAATGTATGATGTAACTTTGTGGCAAATTTTTTTGCACTCCTTTTATGTCACACATGTCACACATGTCACACTTTTATGTCACACAAGTACCTTAGCAGCAACCTAGCAATCATATACGGTACCATAGCAATGACCTAGCAACACACAAGCAACCATCTTGAATACCATGGCAACTGCCAACTGCCAACTACCATAACAACCACCTAAAACACTATAGCAACCACCTAGGAACACCTTAGCAACCACCTTGGATATTTTAGAAACTGCTTAGCAACACCCTTGCAACCACCTAGCAATATCCTAGCAACAACATAGCAATTACCTAAACACCACTGAAAATATCATAGCATCTATATAGCAACAACTTAGCAACCACCTGGCATACTATAGCAACTACCTAGCAATTCTTTAGCAAAAACATAGCAACTACCTAACAACCGCCTAAAATACCATAACAACCGTCTAGCAACACCTTCGCAACCACCTGGGATACTATAGCAACAGACCAGCAATACCTAAGCAAAAACATAGCAACTACATAACAACTGCCTAAAAGACCATAGCAACCATCTAGCAACATCCTAGAGTCCATCTACCAACCACCTGGGTTACTATAGCAACCATCGAGCAGTACCCTAGCAACAACATAGCAACTACCTTATAATATCCTATAATAATTATCAAACATCTAGCAACACCCTAGAAACCACCTGAGATACTATAGCAACAATCTAGCAATACCTTAGCAAAAACATAGCAACTACCTAACAACTGTCTAAAATACCATAGCAACCACCTGGGATACTATAGCAACCACCTAGCACCACACTAGCAATCACTTTGGATACTGCAGCAACTGCCTAGCCATGCCATAGCAACCACTTTAAACACAGTAGCAAACACCAGGGTAACACCCAAGCAACTACCTAGCAACTAAAATACCATGGCAATAACCTAACAACACCCTAGCAACCACTTGGGATGCTATAGCAACAGCCTAGCAACACCAGAGAACTGCTTAATTGAGCAGTCGCTCTTCATTTTTTCAGGAAATGCACTTTTAAAGGATTTCTGTTCCTCACTGAAACATCGGTGAGATGGTTGTCTGTAGTAATCGACTGTAGCAGATGGAGATTAAGGGTGAAGATACTATCATGTATGTATCATTTATGAAAGGACTGGTTTCTTCATCAGACAATGTTATGAGGTGAAGCAGGAGGCTCACAGCAAAGGCAGACATGGCGTTCTTCAAAAGCTTCCAGCAGAACCTCCCCTCAGTCTCCTCCATCCTAGACTCCGTGTCCAACACCGTGTCCAGCACCGTGGATGACCTGGCTAGCGCCGTGAGCGACGTCACTTACTCAGTGAGCGACCAGCTGACAGAGCAGGTCAACACCATCATAAGCAAGGTGCAGACGGAGGAGGAGGAGAGGATGAAGAAAGAGGAGGCTGAAGCAGGAGCTTCTTCAGGGCAGGAAGGAAAACAGAGAGACAGAAAAAACAGCAGACTTAGGAGGCAGGAGTCGGAGGTGTATGGCTCCGAACACACCGACCATCAGAGCGCCGACGGAGCGGGACGGAAGAGCCAGTCTAACTTCAAGAGGAACGCCTACATAGATGAAGAGGAGGAGCTAAGGGAGAAGGAGAAGCAGGAGCAGGAGAGGAAGAACGAGGAGGAAGAGTGGGAGTGGTGCTACGCTCCTTCTAAAGGATGGTACCGCAAAAGAAGAGATGCAAATGAAAGCAAAAGCACGGCTCAAAGTTCAGACGCTCAGAATAACAAAGAAGAGGAACCGGGAGGAGAACCGAAGAGGAGCAATGATGAAGAAGATGAAGAGGCGATCTCCCAGGAGAAGAAAAAAGAAGAAGAGGAACAGTGATGAAGAGGAGAACAATCAAGAATGTGAGGATGGAGTTTCCAAAGAGAATGCAAAAGCAGAAGCTGATGAAGACTCAGAAGGACATGAGCGAGCCAAAGCTGAGAAGACAAACAGAAACTCTGGAGATAAGGGAGATGAGGAGGCACATCAGAAGATGAAGAGCGATGATCAGGATGAGTCTGGGAAAAGAAGGAAGAGCAGAGAAAGGAGAGTGAACGGTAAAGGTGAGGCTGTGTGGAGCGTCTGCTCTCTGGTGTGCTGTGATCTCTCCATCCTTCTGACTCAGTTCGCTCTGTGAGGTGAATCTGTCCTTTCCTGAAGGATCTCCGAAATGATGAGCTTTCCTGCAATGTTCACACAACATGATCGTCCAAAGGATTGTAGCAGATCTGATAGTTGCTGATCTATCAATCAATCTTTACTTCCACCCAGAACACATCGAGGGTGACCCTCGATTTCAGTGCAGACAAGCATTTACAGCATAAAGAGACTGAAAATAAATCAAATTTAATCAGATTAAACTAAAATGAACTGAACTACATGAACAAATTAAAATAAATAGAACTAATAGTAGTTAAAACCAATTAATAATTTCATGAAAGGATAAATACGGCAAACTAAAATTTAAGCAATTAAGTAAAAGGATAGGAAAAAAGTAATAAAATCAAATAGAGTAATAGAATTAAGATCAAACAAAATAATAAGATTTTATTTAGGCAAATACAAAGACAAAATAAAACCATTGTGAAAGAAAATAATAATAAAAATAAATGATTTTAACTCATTTGTTACGCTTGTTACAATTAAACTCGAAGTATTCTAGAAATATTGCAAACAAAAGGGTTAAAAAAACAATGGAAAAGTATCAGGACTGTTTTTTCCACTGTACCGGCACTCTTAAAAATGGTTCTTCAACCTTTGCATGATTAAATGGTTCTGTGCATGGTGAAATTGTTCTTCAGATTGATGGAGAATGTGTTGGTTCTATATAGTATCAAGAAGGATCTTTCATTGTGGCTTTATTGAATCTTGACATTGTAACAATAGAAGAACCTTTTTAGTGCTATATAGAGTCATTTTCCAAAAGTTTCTATATACAACACATTCTCCATCAGTCTGAAGAGCCATGATTCTATGAGTGTGCATGGTTCTATATAGAACCACTGTCTTTAATAAAGAACCCAACAAGAACCACTTTTTTAAGAGTGTAGGCAGATACAGCCAAGTGAGTTCTCCAATTTCTATTCTTTTATTTATTTTATTAACTATGTTTTATTATTTTATCCCTATTTTGATGTTTTATTTTTGCAGTTTCAATTCTTTATTCTGATCTGACTATTAAATTTACTTTACTAAATAATTATGATAATTATTATTATTTTTAGCATTTTTTCAGTCCCTGTTTTCTATTTTGGCTCGGCTACACCGTAAATTAGGGTCTACCTCATTGTACTCTGAGTTTAAATAAAGGTTGATTGATTGATTGACTGATTAGACTGTCCGTTGTTCTAGATAAAAGCATCAGCCATATACATAAATGTAATGTACTTTAACGGGTGTGTCGTATTGCACTGCTCACTGGAAAAACACTGTGGTATGATCATCCAAGAGTTAAGAAGAACTTCATTGCAACATTTCAGTGCATGCCCTTCAGTGCATGGTTCTTTAGAGAACCATTTTTGTAAATGAGATGTATGAGTGCGAAAACCTCCACATAAAGGTAAGAACCCTTAAATGGGTAAAGAACGTTTATGTTATGTGAAGGTTCTTTAACTTTTTTTCACAGTAAAAATAAAGTGCAATTTTAAATTAAATGTTAGATTCTATTTAAACTAAATTCTGATGAGTCAGTTTCTGTTGCACTGGAATGGCCACTAGGAGGCCTGCAAACAAGGGCTGAACGTTTAAAATGTTCTTCACACTCACAGATCTCTTTAAACATGGTTCTTTAGGGAACCAAAGTGGTTTTTCTGTGGTGTCCCTTAAGGAACCCTATCTGGCACTTTTTAAAGTAGTGCAATAATAAATATGCAAACCTGAATAATGTATAAGAAACGGAGGAGTGAATAAATGAGCTATACAGATTAAACTGTACCATTGTTCTGTTGTCTCTCCTCCTGTAGACGGAAGCAGTTTAGAGAGAGGTTCGTCAGAGAGCGAAGACGAAACACCCAAGAAGCTGAAAGGTCCGAGCGGACAGCAGCAGAGAGCTAACGGATGGGAGAACAGGGACAAATACTCAGCTGAGAACGAGGGCTACAGCAGCGAAGCATCTGCAGAGCACGGTGAGAGAGAGTAGCGTCACTGCTGAACTGTCGTCTAGAGAACATTTTAATTAAACCCCTCATACTGGAAAGTGGCTAATGTGATAACTTTTACGTGCTCATTCTGTCAGAGCTGTACTGTCTCCGAGAGCCTGGTTCTCCTAGGCCATCTTAGAACGTTCTGTACTTTTCTGTGCCTCTCTGTCACTGCTGGGTAACCCTGATGTGTATGGGGGAGTTTGGGCCAGTTGATAACCTGTCCAAAAAAGTAACCAGACACCTGCGGATCCAGAGTTTCTTCTGAAATTAAGGTATTAATAGTGAGTTTGTGCTGCAGTAACAGCCTAAAGTGGTCAGTGGAGCTTCATCACTCCAAGTCAGCCCAAAGGTGTTTCTGAATACGTTTGAATATATAGTTTATAACATGTATATATAGGGAGCATATATGGTGAATTATGTTGCACATTCACTGGTCCAGCAAGACAACAGATGAAAACACATTTTTCAGTTGACTGTACATGAGTGTTACGAAGGCGTTCCTTGCAAAATCCAATTTAAATTTTAATGCTAAGTTAATATTTATGTTATTAATGCTTTCATTGTTTGACACTGTAGCATCCACATAATCAATAAGCAAACAACACCAAACATGTCTTCGCTGAACTATTATATTTGGGGTAGTTGTTGGTCGAACCCCTGAAGTGCTGAAGAGTGTCTGTTTTTAGATCTTAGGATTGTACAGGACAGATGACCGTGTGAAGTAATCAGGCTGTGGTATCTTTGTGTTTCTTAGGCAGCCACACTCAGAGAGCGAGGCGCTCCAGTCCACTGAACGAGCTGCAGCCGCCACCCTATAAGGCTCAGGATGACCTGCAGGAGGGTCACTCTGAGGGCAGTGAGGGCAGCGAGGCGGAGGAGGACACAGAGAGCTACCTTAACAAGGGCTACGAGGAGGACGCCCCCAGTGAGAGCACGGCCGTGCTGGGCCCGGAGGTGAGCAACCCACCACGACGCTTCAAACGCTGCACAATACTCTGACCTCTGATCTCAGACGTTGACTTCAGACACTGACCGGCGCTTCTAATGCATCTAAGATTGACTCTTTGTTTATGTCAGGCTGGGTAATAAGGGTCAGGAAGTCCACAGTGTGACAGAACTGAAAATACTGGCTGGTTGCTTTGATATAAATTCTGAAGTGTGCAAGACTTTCTGTTGTCAAACATCATCATCCAAGTTTTATTTATCTGAAATGGCCAAATGATTTACTTGTCATCATCTGCACTGCTGAGCTCAGTAAATGTGACATTTTTCAAATTAATTTTTCTCTTTGTTTATTTTATGCCTTACTTTGTTTTAAACACTGTAATTATTGCCTTCTGCTGGAGACTGTAGAGAACTGCGTGATCACAGTCATCTGTTTGTGTGAGTTAAATGACTCAGTGGTAGTTTGGAGGACGTTTTGGTGGAGTTTCGGACTGGAGTTGGTTCACTCCGGCTGAATTTGGTAAGTCCTGAATCCCTGAGTGTGCCTGAAACAGTCTGGTGACTCTGGCAGCATTTGCTTCAGCTTCATCTGCTTTAAACAGCTTCAAGTCTGTGAGTCAGACTCAGTTTTGAGAAGTGAAATAACACTGAGAGGCTGTAAATGCTGCATGAATGAATGAACTGTTTCACCAAGTCATAATAAGCATGGGCACCCTCAAGGAATGTGTGGTGTTTTTTTTTTTACATATTTCTTTCAAACTACGGACCATGGAATGTGTTTTTTGTAGGTGGGGCCACCAACCATTTCATCAGCTCTTAGAATCATGTGATATTTTGGCAGCTTTCTGAGAGCCGTCTGTTCAAACCAGCCAAACATAAAGACACTGTGCGTTTATATGGCTTTGACTGTGATACAGACAGAGCAGGCCTGTAGATAAGAGGTTACAGCAATAGTTCGGGCAAAAATCAACTACCCTCCTACTCTACATGTAGTCGATGAGCTGAGACATGCTTGGTGTCTGAAGTTTACTTCTTTAGTATTAGCACTGGAGCCTCAAGGCTAATGTGGCTAACAAGTAATGGAAGCTTTTACCCACCAATTAGCATGGCGTGTAATTAAGGATTGAAGATTCCTGCTATTGTTATTAGCTATGCCAACATACTGAAGAGCTAATGTAAAACTATTAATACATGGCTAACATTTGGGTATTTGTACATACAATAATTCAAAATTTGCACTTAACTTTGATTAAATGTACCAAGAAACAACAAAGGAAAATATTCTGTGCCTAATAAGTAGCTTAGATTTCTTAATACATTTTCATCCAACAGGAATTCACATAAATAATATTTTGAATAAAACAAAAAACAGTGAAAAAATACCAAAAGGTATCTCAACTTGAAGTTGAGACACTTTTTGGGAACTTTTAGGAATGTGGCCTCCAGTCTGTTTATCAGCTCAGCTTCGCAACAGTTTTGCTGGAGACTTCAATCTTCACAAAATGTCTAAGCTGAGTAGCATTAACTCCTAACTCAACCAGGCTGCCCATATGATAGATCTGGCCATACACTGTAAAAACAAACCTTCAGTTTGCCAAACTAGCAGAACCCTTTCAAAAAGGGTTCTATCCATCATGCTTTGGAACGTTTTTTAAACTGTGAGGTTCTTCTCTGTTTAGAATTATAAGAAGTTCCAGTATCAGTATTCACACAGTCACAGAGAACCTGTATACACACACACACACACAAAAATGTAAATTCCAGTTCAGTCATACTTTTAATGGATGTAGTTGCTCAGCAAATCGTTTGGTTATTAAGGAACCTTCTGGAATACAAGAGAACTTTGAGGAACTCTAGATTTCTTACATTAACCCTGTTTAGGCCTAAAAGTTCTTCTAGAAACCACCTGAGGTGCTTGAGGACTCACTCAAAAGAAGAGTTCTTTCAGGAATCTAGAGCTGAATCGTCATGCTTGATCGAACCCAGTGAGGTTCCTGCAACAGCCTGTAAGGGTTCCTCCACTAACCACATAATAGTTTTTTTGAGGCACCTAAACTGTATTTTTTAGTTCTTTGAGTACCTTATTGGATATTCTTATTGGGTTTACTTATTGGGTGTTGGGGGGGCGGGGGTGTTGGATCACTTCAAAATATTAGGTGGCCCCCATTTCTGTGGTCCATGTTTGAAACCCTGCTGAATTCTGAACTGATCTCTCTGTCACTTTTTTCCATTCCATCCTTTCTCCATCCATCCATCCCTCTCTCTCTCTCCCCACCACTGTAGGACCCCTCCATCGCCCCCCTGCCGGAGCTGTACGAGCCTGAGGTTTTGGGGAAGTACGGCACGCTGGACGTTGCGTTTGAATATGACTCGAGCACGCAGCACCTGGCCGTGACCGTAACGGCAGCCACGGACATCCCGGCCCTGAAGACCACAGGGAACATTTCTTGGCAGGTCCACCTGGTGCTGCTGCCCACCAAGAAGCAGCGAGCGAAGACCGGCGTGCAGAAGGGACCCTGCCCGGTCTTCACCGAGACATTCCGCTTCTCCCCGGTGGAGCGGGATGCACTGGAGGAGTACGCTGTGCGGTTCCGCCTCTACAGCGTCCGCCACAGGAAGAAGGAGAAGGTTCTGGGGGAGAAAGTGTTCTACCTGACCAAACTCAACCTGCAGGGCAAAACTGCCCTGCCCGTCACGCTGGAGCCCGGATCTGCAGTCCCCGTGAGCGCTCAGCCTTCAGACCATGATAAATATATACATACGGTGCAGCCTTAGACACCTGATCACTTTATTTATCAGCACTTATCTCAGTAGGGAGGGTGATTTTACTGTATATCAATAAAATAAATACAAATGCATATATACATATATACACACACCGAGTAAAATACACTATATTGCCAAAAGTATTCACTCACCCATCCAAATCATTGAATTCAGGTGTTCCAATCACTTCCATGGCCACAAGTGTATAAAACCGAGCACCTAGGCCTGCAGACTGCTTCTACAGACATTAGTGAAAGAATGTGTCGCTCTCAGGAGCTCAGTGAATTCCAGCGTGGTACCGTGATCGGATGCCACCTGTGCAACAAGTCCAGTCATGAAATTTCCTCACTACTAAATATTCCACAGTCAACTGTCAGTGGTATTATAACAAAGTGGAAGCGATTGGGAACGACAGCAACTCAGCCATGAAGTGGTCGGGCACGTAAAATGACAGAGCGGGGTCAGCGGATGCTGAGGCGCATAGTGTGCAGAGGTCACCAACTTTCTGACTCAATCTCTACAGACCTCCAAACTTCATGTGGCCTTCAGATTAGCTCAAGAACAGCGTAGAGAGCTTCATGGAATGGGTTTCCATGGCCGAGCAGCTGCATCCAAGCCTTACCTCACCAAGCACAATGGAAAGCGTTGAATGCAGTGGTGTAAAGCGCCACCACTGGACTCTAGAGCAGTGGAGACATGTTCCGATGGACAAGTCTGGGTTAGGTGGTTGCCAGGAGAACGGTACTTGTCTGACTGCATTGTGCTAAGTGTAAAGTTTGGTGGAGGGGGTTGTTTTTCAGGAGTTGGGCTCCGCCCCTTAGTTCCAGTGAAAGGAACTCTTAATGCTTCAGCAGACCAAGAGATTTTGGACAATTTCATGCTCCCAACTTTGTGGGAACAGTTTGGGGACGGCCCCTACCTGTTCCAACATGACTGCGCACCAGTGCCAAAGCAAGGTCCATAAAGACATGGATGAGCGAGTTTGGTGTGGAAGAACTTGACTGGCCTGCACAGAGTCCTGACCTTAACCCTGACAGAACACCTTTGGGATGAATTAGAGAAGAGACTGCGAGCCAGGCCTTCTCGTCCAACATCAGTGTCTGACCTCACAAATGCGCTTCTGGAAGAATGGTCACAAAGTCCCACAAACACACTCCTAAACCTTGTGGAAAGCCTATAGCTGCAAAGGGTGGGCTGACATCATATTAAACCCTGTGGATTGAGAATGGGATGTCACTCAAGTTCATATGTGTGTGAAGGCAGATGAGCGAACACTTTTGCAATATAGTGTATAATAAGAGGAAATAAATGTCTTCATTGGAGAGCTGACAGCCAAAACCAGCTAGAAACAAAACCAAACTAACTTACTTATGATGCGAGAAAATACAATTAACAACCCTGATTCCCGAACCAAACCAGGAGAAAACTAGATTTGGACGGTGCCTATTTTTTCATATCTTCATACCTTCCTGGGATTTCACTGGGGTACACGGTATGTGATGATATTTGTCTTGCTGCTGGTGATACAATGTGAGATCGTCACATTCAGGAGAGTGGTGCTAGTTAGCATTAGCTTTACTAGCATGCTAACAGTTCTGCCCACCACGTAACATGTTCCATTCTGGCTAACTAAAACACTGACACAAGAATTACAAATAATGATTGAAATCTGAGAGAGTGTATCAAGTTCTTTAGTAAGGAAAATGGTTCTATATTGAACCATGAACACACAAAGAACCCACTAAGTGATTAAATGTTTTTTTTTTGCATCATGAAGTGGTTCTTCAGATTGATGGAGAATGAGTTGTAGATGGTTCTATATACAAGCTTTTTTAAAAGTGATTCTATATAGCATCCAAAAGGGTTCTTCTATTGTTACAAGCTTGACATGACCACAATAAAAGAACCCTTTTGGGTGCTGTAGAGAGCCATTTTCTTTACTACAGAGCTGTTGAAGCACCATCATTCTTAAGAGTGTAGAACAAGAAAGAGAAAGACAAGAGAGCAAGAGAACAGACACACATACGCACCCTTAGAGTCGTGACACAGTGTATTTAGGAGCCTAAGACTTTATGTAAATGTATATGAATATTGGTCATCATATGGTGCTGACGTATGTTTGCCGTATCGCCCACCCCGTATGTAGACCTGTACTCAAGAGGAGCTCAGAAGGTAATAAATGTCAGTACTTTGTGTGTTCTGATGGTCTGCAGGGCTGCGGGTCATTAGTGAGCGTGTCCCGCAGTGTGGGCGCTCTGTCCTACCACTCCACCGGAGAGTCGTCCACTCCGGAGCTGCTCCTCGGCCTGCTGTACAACTCCAGCACCGGCCGACTCTCCGCTGAGGTCATCAAGGGCAGCCACTTTAAAAACTCCGCCACTGACCAGCCACCCAGTGAGAAACAAACCTAATCGCACTAATCACTCTCTTCCTGCTTTCCTGATAAGGCTTCACTTCCTGTTCATGCTGTTTTTCTTAAACTCCCCCCTTTCTTTCTCTCTCTCTCTCCTCTCTCTCTCTCCGGCCTGCAGACGGCCTGTTCTGCTGTATAAAGCGCTTCATTGGGGGGCAGTTATATATCATGCGAGGTGAGTTACGGTCCAGACATTGTCATCAAATTTTATTAAGGGGTTACGTTTCACTCAGGGTTCCACAGGTAAAATAAGATGAATGAAAAAGTTGAACATTAACTGCTGTTGCAAAATGACTCCAGCCTAAAAGTATGGAGTTCAGCTGGTTTTGCTGTACAGTACTGCAAACCTGCAACTCATTTATAAATTTCCTCTTTCTGCAAAAACGGATAAAATTTAGGCTTCAAGAATCCTGCTCCTGAGCTTAGCTGTGCTAACATACTTCAGTCCAGGTTTATAGATAACAGTGAGTCATACAGAGTCAGAAACCACATAATTAAGACTATTAGAGATACTGAACAAGAAAAAGAAAGAACAGGGAACCCGCAGAGCCCTATGTTCCCTATGTAGAATCCTATATTCCCATATATTAGGATAGTAGGATCATATAGTTCCAGAGCCATATGTTTCGTATGTAGGGTCCTGTGTTCCCTATGTAGTGTCCTATATTCCTAGAGCTGTATGTTCCCTATGCAGGGTCCTTTGTTTGCTATGTAAGGTCCTATGTTTCCTAGGTAGTATCCTGTGTCCCCTATGTAGGATCCTTTGTTCACTGTGTAGGGTCATCTATTCCTTATGTAGGGTCCTGTGTTCTCTATGTAGGATTCTATGTTTCCTATGTAGGATCCTATATTCCCAGAGCCCTGTGTTCCCTATGTAGGATCCTATATTCCCAGAGCCCTGTGTTCCCTATGTAGGATCCTATGTTCCCTATGTAGGATCCTGTTTCCTGTGTAGGGCCCTTTATTCCTTATGTAGAGTCCTGTGTTCCCTATGTAGGATCCTATGTTCCCTATGTAGGGTCCTATGTTCCCTATGTAGGTTCCTATGTTCCCTATATAGGGTCCTATGTTCCATTTGTAGGTTCCTACGTTCCCTATGTAGGATCCTATTTTCCCTATGTAGGGTCTTATGTTCCCTATGTAGGGTCCTATGTTCCCTATGTAGGTTCCTATGTTCCCTATATAGGGTCCTATGTTCCCTTTGTAGGGTCCTATGTTCCCTATGTAGGATCCTATATTCCTAGACCCCTATGTCCCCTATGTAGGGTCTTGTGTTTCCTATGTAGTGTCCTGTGTGCCCTATGTAAGATCCTGTGTTCCCTATGTAGGGTCCTATGTTCCCTGAGCCCTTTATTTCTTTGCTGAAGTTTCTAGGAAGCTGCCTTGTGTTCCCCAGGCCCTCTTTGTAATTTCAGGAACAGTGCTCTATTTCTTTGTTGAAATATTCATGTTGAACTTTGCAACAACATTGCAAAACATTAACAAAGTTGTATTTGTACTAACAGTGGACTCTTTGAGGGCATCCTGATCTCCCTCCATTTCCCCTCCTATCTACCATCTAAAGTTGGTTACTTTATACTGCTAATTTGCAAGCAAACTAGCAACTTCAGAAAAGGCATGCAGAGCACAACAATTAAACCAGACAGAGGAATTATTCACAGCGTTTATGTACTCTACACTCTCACTTCTAAAAATTAAAATACAAAATTTTCTTATTTGTTTGAAATACATAGTTTGCTTAGCTAGCTAACTGAGGCTAGCTTAGCAGAGGGCAAAGTGTGAACCTGCTCCTCATTATTCTCTACATGACCCCATGATGTAAAGCGGGACCTTGGCAGCTCTTCTCTCCTATTGAGGTCTGATGTATCATATAAAGAGCAGAACATAGAGCCCTCCTCACAAAACACTCTAGATTATTTCTGGTACTTTCTATTAGCCAAAATCACAATGAGCCAAATGGCAATGAAAATGGAGCTGATTAATTAAATAGCACGGGTCTAAAAAGTGCTCCATTGAAAGTAAAACTGGCTGTTTAGCACAATGAGTCGTACATAATTATGCTATGAAATTTTGGTACTTCAGGTGTAGCAGCAGTGTTTAAACGCCTCATCTGTCTCTCTTTTCAGTCATAAAACTGCAACATACATAAGCCAAAATCAATATAATAAATTGGCTGATCGCAGATTGCTTGTTCAGAGCTGGCCTGATTCTAATTGTGCGCTATTAACGAGCTATTGGCTCCTCTGTACACCCCTCAAAAAACAGACACGTATGTGAAGCTGATCATGCTGGACTCGAAGGGGAAAGAGATGTCCAAGTGTAAGACATCCGTTTGTCGCGGCCAGCCAAACCCCACCTACAAGGAGACCTTCGTGTTCCAGGTGGCGCTGTTCCAGCTGTCGGAGGTGACGCTGCAGGTGACGGTCTACAGCCGACGCAGCAGCATGAGGCGGAGGGAGCGGGTTGGCTGGGTTTCACTGGGCCTCAACAGCACCACCGAGGAACAGGAGGAGCATTGGACACAGATGAAGGAGGCTGAGGGCCAGCAGGTGTGCCAGTGGCATACGCTCCTGGACTCATAAATTGGCAGTGGACCTGAGAAAGTGGACTGTGGAGGTGAGGGGAGTCGCATCGTTATTGGTTTTGGTGTGAGAAGACACTGTCAGAAAACTGCTAAAGCTAGCCCCTGGGTTTGTGAGAGGAGAAGATGCTGTTTATCTAGGATTTTTGTGGGAGAAGACGTAAAACTGAAAGAAGACTGAAAACTGCTAATGCCGGCTGCTAGGTTTTGGTGGGTGAAGACAAACACATTGGAAAACTTGGAAACTAACCTAGATTTTGTTGGGAGAACACAAAAATGTTGGGTAAGCTGGCTGTAAATCCAGGATTTTGGTGGAAAAGGACATAAAAATGTTGGAAAACCGCTAAATTTTAGTTGTTTTTAAGTTTTGGTGGAAGCTAATCCAGTTATCTGCTAATCCAGGTTTTTGATGGGAGAAAAGACAAAAATGTTGGAAAACTGATGAAGCTAACTGCTAATGCAGTTAGCTAGTAAATGCTAAGTTAATTAAGAGAAGTTCTGGCATAGTCAGCTGTTCTGGGTGATGTTCCTGCTGGGCTCTACATGAACTAAGACATTTAAGGACTGGTGTGGAGTTGAAGATGTTCTTGGAAGAACACCTCATTGTCATGATGACTATGCATCTGAACTAACCTTTAAACAGAGAACCTGCCACTGAGTTTCATCATTTCCTGAAGAGACTGTTAGACTGTTCAGATCTTTCTGAGCCTCGAAAAGTGAAGGAACCTGATTTTCAGGTTTGATTCCTCATTTGCACTGCATGAAATTAACTGCCATTATAAACAGATCTAATCATTGTGTAGGACCAACAAGCATGATCCCTCCTGTGACTTCCTCGTTCCTCTGAAGGGGAGATGTTCACTGTTCACTATACCAGCACTGCAGCTGAATGTACAGGTGAAGTAAATGCTGTATACTAATATATGGGGCTATCAACTGTATAAACAGAATCCAGTATGCAACTTCATGAGCGTAATCATGAAACACCTCTCCAGCGTTTTCCTCCTGCACTGAATCAGGCCAGACTATGCAAAAGGAAGAGTGAAGTAACTCAGCGTGAGCTGGTTTGAGGAAATGATGAGTGGTTTGTCTTTTGCAGAAGTGGATTTTACTCTCTAACAACCACAAATGTTTTCTAAAATTAAAGTTTGCATTGGACGACTCTGGTGTGCTTTTTTGTGATAATGCACAGAAGCGTTTCCCTCTAGTACATACAGTCTGATATGCATGCTGTTCTGTGTTTCTGAGGAAGTGGCTGGCATTTCCTGAAGCCAGTCTAGCATGTTTATCTCATTATAACAAAGACTGCTCTCCCTGGCCCTGTCTCTAAATTTGGCTCACTACTCGGAAGTACATCACACCTACAGCAGTCCCAGAAAGTATAACTCAAAAACAGTCTATACTTAACAAAAATGATCTATACTTCACACCCAATGATCTGTACCTCACACAATAATCTATACCTCACACAATGATCTATACCACCTACAAAACGATCTATACCTCACAAGAAAATATTCTGTAAATCACTCAAAAACAATCTATACCTCATAAAAAGTGATCTATATCTCACACGAAAATGATACTATACAGCATACCCAACAATCTATACCTCACCCAACAATCTATACCTCACACAATGGTCTAATCCTCAAATTTAACAATTTATATCTCTCCCAATGATTTATACCGCATACAAAACAATCTATAACCTCACATGACAACAATCTATATCTCACACCCAACAATCTATACCTCACACATGATCTATATCTCACACAACAATCTATACCTCACATAAATCTATACCTTGATCTGTACCTCACATAAGCCTATCTATACCTCGATCTGTACCTCACATAAGCCTATCTATACCTCAACAAAACCATTTATACCTCACACAAAACAATCTATACCTCACACCCAACAATCTGTACCACGCATTCTATACCTTACACAATGATCTATACCTCACCCAACGATCTGTACCTCACACCCAATTATCTATACCTCACACAATGATCTATGCTTCATACAAAACTATCAATACCTCGCACGAAAACATTCTATAAAATTCTCAATCTATACCTCATACAAAGCAATCTCTACCTCACACCTAATGATCTATACCTCACACACCTATACCTGATTTATATTTGATACAAAATGATCTATACCGCACACCCAACAATCTATACCTCACACAACAGTCTAATCTTCACATTGACAATCTATATCTCACACCTAACAATCTATGCCTTACACAATGATCTATCTCACATAAGCTTATCTATACCTCACACAACAATCTATACCTCACATAAGCCTATCTATACCTCACACAAAACCATTTATAACTTACACAAAACAATTTGTACCTCACACCCAACAATCTGTACCACACACACAACAATCTATATCTTACACCCAACAATCTGTACCACACACAACAATCTATACCTCACCCAACAATCTGTACCTCACACACAATGATCTATACTTCACACAACAATCTATTCCTCAACCAATCTGTACCTCACACCCAATGATCTATGCATCACACCTAACAATCTATACCTCACACAGTGATCTATAACTCATACAATAATCTCTACCTCACACAAAACAGTCTACTGGATATACTATTCCTGATTAAAAAAACTGCAAAATAATGAGATGAGAAGTCATTTGTACAAATTTATTGGCAAAAAGTTTATTTACAGCTGATTATCAAGCTTCAGTCATGTTGTGCATTATAATGCACAATTTCAGCCACATTTACTTTAAAAGACACTTTTCAGAACAGCTTGCTAACACTAGCACAGCAAGGAAGACATGTTAGGAAATAAGTGAAAATTAGAAGGCATCACAGATACTACTTTACATCAAGTAAAGTTAGACTTGAGGGTTTCACTCAGTACTACTGTAAACAATCTCAGATATTAGGTAAAAGCATTTGAAAAGGTGCACAGCTGTATTTCTACATGATAAATATTTTACAAAATGATTTTATACTGTCTGAGGTATGTCAGGTGAATTTAATCACTGCATTCAGTCAAGTCTGTAGCCTTTCGTTCATTCACCACTTTTCTCAGCACTGCTAATTCCATTTAGCTGGTGCACAATGTCGTCAAACACTGAAATAAAAAACTGTGCATGAACTCACTGCTGACACTCACCTCACACATGCTCACACTTCTATCTATTGTGGATCTATTGTGCTCATTTTCAATATTAATAATTTTATTTTTATCTACTAAAATAGATTTACAGCTTTAATGTTCCAAAAACATTTTTCTCATACTATACATCTCTATTCACTCTCTGTCCGAAACACTCTGTTAGAGCTCTTGTGTCTTTAAGCCCCGCCTCCCAATGAGCCCAGGAGGCTCTGATTGGTCATCTCGCCCACTCTGTTCTGACTGGTCAACCTCCAGAGTGGTTACACCCTTCCATGTTCCGCCCCTGTCTTGCAGTCTGCAGACAAACCCTTCTTTCCTGAGCAGCTGTAAACACTGTGACTGTTTCTCCAGCAGCATCGGTTTTGCCGTATCAGTTTGATCCAGAGTCGATCCTGAAAGTCCGGTCAGCATCTTCTCCACATGCTACAACACTGAATACACTCTTCCTCCTCCAGCAGCTGCTGTGCACTGTGTGAGGGTGCGCCCAGTTTGCCGGTAGGCGGGTAATAAGGACTATGTTACGAGATTGCGTCATCTTGTAACAAAGGAAAAGGGCTGGAATTCCAATGAAGTGTTTCACGCAGCTGAGAAAAGTGGTTTCTGTGGGAGAGAGTTTCTCCCTCTGGAGTGAACTTTGAGCTTTGTGACTTTGCAGAACGTTTACATGCACAAAAAGATACAACATTCTAAAGGAAAACAAACAAAAAAACAGTAAAGGACAATAGGTCCCCTTTAACAGAGGTACAAACTATTAATACAGGGATCCAGGCTATTAGCATGATGTTAGCCAGTGGTGCAGTCTTCGTGGCATTAGAAAAGCACTGGCCATCGTCAGAGACTCTGGTGGGTTTCATCACTCAATGTTGCACCTATTTTAGAGAGTAATTAAACCCTAAAGCAGATTTTTTAATTAAAAACTGAAATTGCTTTGTAATAATAAATAACATCATGCTTGATGACATTTTAACACTGTTTCACATGGACAAAACAGCATCATTAATGTAGTCAGTTCAGTCTCTGCTGTAGCCACGCATGACCACTGAATTCTGAATCTACATCACAATATGCAATTCTGTCAACCACTGATTTGCATATTGCATACCACTACTGCTACTATCACACCTGACAGTGACAACGCCCGTCTGAACAAATACGAGTCTGAAATATGAGGATTAGAGCTGAGAGGACACAGCTGTTAGTTGATCAGGTTGCCATCACTCATTAGTTAAATTTAGCTGCAACAGCAAATACACCAAATACAATCTAAAAAATGACGTGCAATCTGTTTTTTTCACTTTTTTTTAATCCTCCTCCACCAGGGATGTGGGAAAGCATTTTAAGTTGGCTGTGCTGAAATTTTAAGCAGTCTCAAATGTGACGTGAACAGTGATGTCATGCACAATTTAATTTTTGGGGGATTTTTTTAATTTACATCAAACAGAATGTGTCATACGGCACTATAATGAAGCGACGTCACATCAGATACACATCCTCTTTCTGCTCTCTCATTCTGGACTAACTTTTTACGCAAGGCACGACAGACAGCCAATCAGAGTGTGAACGAAATGTGGACAGCCAATCAGAGTGTAAATGATGGTCTGCATACCTCTGTGGGCGGAGATTCCGAGGCTGAGACTACAGCATACCCAACACTTAACGTTAGACATTAGACTACACCATTTTAGCATGTTAGCATGACTCAGCCTGTCAGAAGGTCTGTTTGACGACATCTACTCATCTACTGTTTTCATCTATCTACTTTACCCTCTCAGGTCGACATCAAAGGACAGGAACGCTGCATGCTACAGACTTACTTTCAGTTTTTCCCAGAAAGCTACTGCTGTGCGGTTCTGTGAGGGCCCCAGTGAGACTGTACCTCTTTCAGAAGCTTTGTAATTGTAGTCTTTTTTATAGACTTTGTAAAATATATCCATTATCAAAATTTCAACACAATGTCCATTTCTCTGTGTTGAAAAGAGTTACTGTTGATGTAAGCATGGCTGTTAGACATCCAATGACACATTGGGTCGAGTCTGTCGACCAATGAGAGGCTGTGTTCCTGACTCGCTGACCAATCAGAGGCTGTGTTCTTGGCTCGTCGAACAATAAAGGACTATGTTCCTGAATTGTCGACCAATCAAAGGCTGTGCTCTTGGCTTGTCGACCAATCAGAGGCTGGGTTCCTGACTTGTTGACCAATCAGAAGCTGGGTTCCTGACTCATTAACCAATAAGAGGCTGTGTTTTTGGCTCGTCAACCAATCAGAGGCTGTGTTCCTGACTCGTCGATGAATCGGAGGCAATGTTCCTGACTCGTCGACGAATCGGAGGCAATGTTCCTGACTTGTCAACCAATCAGAGGCTCTGCTCTTGGCTTGTCGACCAATCAGAGGCTGTGTTCCTGGCTCGTCAACCAATCAGAGGCTCTGTTCCTGGCCTGATGGCCAGTCAGAGGCTGTGTTCTTGGCTCATCAACCAGTTAGAGGCTTTGTGTTCCTGACTCATTGAACAATCAGAGGCTTTGTTCTTTGCTTGTTGACCAATCAGAGGCTGTGTTCATAGCTTGTCGACCAATCAGAGGCTGTGCTCCTGGCTCATCGACCAATCAGAGGCTGTGTTTCTGACTTGTCGACCAATCAGGGGCTGTGATTCTGACCTGTTGCTGGAACATTGCTACCCTTCCAGGAAAAATGAAAATATGTCTAGCATGCAGCATTCACAAAATATTTTTCTTTTATCTACGTTGTCCTAATGCTGTATATGTTACTGTCGAATTGAGTTGAAAACCGCTACTTTTGTTTTGCTACAATTAAAATGTGTTCATGTAATGACATCAAATTATTCGGTGAGTTATGCAATGACTTATATTTACGTTTTAATTCTGTATAAACAGGTTAGAATCTGCTTTTGATTTTTGTTTGACGTCAAAAAAACAAGACTGCACACAAAACAAAAGCTTCAAAATGAAATGGACTGAAAGTTTAGAATCTGCACTTTCCACATGATTTCTCTGCTGCTAGAAACACTTACTATAAAATTACAGCATCACTATCGCCGGCGATAATGGACACTTCTAAAGGTTAAACAGACCAAACGCACAGATTCGCTTTAGCTTAGCCTGGCTAATTTAGCGTCTATTTAAGGAAACTGTGCGAAACGGCTCCTCAAACACGGCTTCTTATCTGCTGGTCTGAACCGTCTTCACCCCGGGCCGTTGCCTTTTTCTAACAAATCAGTTTCATCCACCTTGACCACTGAAAATCTGGACCCGTTCTGGTTCCGTAAGCTCTCGTCAGAGTTGAAAATTATTCTGGGATTCTGGAAAACAGGGTTATAGGATGCTCTGGAATCCCACACACAGCTTGCTGGTCTGTGAGGAGCTGCCTTGTCTAAGAGACTCATGCCAAGTTCTGGATCTCCAGTAGGTTCCTGAAGCGATCGCCTTTCCTCTAGATCTCCGGTGGATCCTCTGGCCCTGGAGATGACCATGTACACGTTGTCCCCAATGCTGAACCTGCGCTTCTGGCGAGGAGATTGGTCAATTGGTACCACCATCTGTTTGAGAAGGTCGCTGCAGCTTTTGGAGCGGGTCAGCTCCTCCTCCTGCTGCTTCTTCCTCTTCTCAGCCGTGCCGATTGCTCTGATGATGTCGCTGTAGTCCTCGCCCTTCTCCGACATGAACTTGAAGATATCAACGATGCTGGCTGCATGAGGCAAGGGGGCTTTCTGGACCTGGTCGATGTTGTACGGAGAAAGCTTGTGACGCATCCGCCTCCTTTTCTTCAGCACTTTGTGGGCCTCCACCACCATGTGGACATTCCAGCTGAAGAACAGGGACAGCCACGCCAGGCCCATGTAGATCCATATCTGCACAGCAAAGCAGTACAGCGCCTGGTACGTCACACTCGTGTTCACACCTGTAAAGAGACACAGAGGTACTTCACAGCTTAAAGTACAACCCTGGCCAGAAAATGTTCTCCAGAACGTTGCATGCAGTTACACATTTCCACCAGAGAGGTCTCCAGATCCCCAAATCTTACAGTGCAGCTTTTTTACTTAACTTCGGACCTAACATTTGAGCTTGGACAGAAGGTTTGCAGGCCGTATTTGGGTTCAGACGAACTTCTGAGACCCAATTAAAGCTCTAAATCAGCTTGTATTCTTAGTGTGACTGTGTTTCCAGCTCTCATTCCACCCAGAGGTTTCTCCTACAGACAGACTATTCCGGGAACAGAAACTAACGATTATTTCTATAACTGATTAACACACACACATCACACACATCTAAACCGCTTATCCTCCTGGGTCACGGTGGGGTGCTGGAGCCTATCCCAGCTGTCATCGGGCGGAAGGCAGGATACACCCTGGACAGGTCGCCAGTCCATCGCATGGCAGACAGACAGACACACATATAAAATCACACACACATTCACACCTAGGGGCACTTTAGCATGTCCAATCAGCCTGACTGCATGTTTTTGGACTGTGGGAGGAAACCAGAGTACCCGGAGGAAACCCACACAGACACGGGGAGAACAGGCAAACTCCACACAGAAACGACCCTGGCCGCCCGGCCGGGAATCGAACCCAGGCCATTCTTGCTGTGAGGCGACAGCTCTACCCACTGCGCCACCGTGCCGCCCATGTTTAACTTTTAGTTACACAAAAATAAGTACCAAAATCCTCGTACGATATTCAAAGTATACATAAACAGCGACTGCGATGTATTATGTGATTTTGTCAGTTATGGTTCAGCGAAACAACAGAAGCTGTATCGCCCCCTACACTTCCTGTAGTGTATTACGGTTTGCTGGAATGAGTGCCTGTGTCATAGAGCACTTGTGCACTGTTGACTTTGTGGGCTAACTGTCGCAGACCAACAGATCAGCACATCCACACCGCAGCTACCTGCTACGTAGTCCCCGAACCCGACAGTGGTCAGGGTGATGAAGCAGAAGTAAAGGCCCTCCAGGTATGTCCATTCCTCCACAACCATGAAGATGAAGGGTGGGATGAGCAGGTGAAACAGCAGACCCCACAGCAGGAAGACAGTCGTGCAGATAAACTGGACATTTTTCTGACAGACACAAAAAGGGAAACCTTATCAGTCTGTTATGAATAAAAAAAAACTTTAATATCGTAGGTTAAGTAACGTTTGAGTGTGTGATGGAGCTCTAAAGTCGTGTGTCATTCTGTAGTTGGTGTCATGCTCATTTTAGGATCTCCGGATCTGAGTGTATGAGATAACGTTTTTGAAAATAACTGCTATCTCACTCTGTGGTAACAAAAATGCTCCAGAGCAGATGCGTTTTACTGTATGTACATTTTTCCTCTGAATTACAAGGTGGTTGAGGGGCTGTAATACAAATAAAGCTCCGTGAGCACTGCTGCACACTGAACTGACCTCATCAGATTGACAGCACCAAAATACCCCACACTGACCAGCAGGCTGTCAAGTTTGGTAGTTTAGATGCATCTGGCAGATTTAGGCTGCAGTTTGAGGAGCAGTATTCAGATCTTAGATATTTACAGTGATTATATTCTGATCTATTTAGACCCAAAGCATTAATAGACGTAGTAATAAGCTAATTATATATGACATCACCATTTATAGGACGCTTTCTATTGGTAGGAGTCGGTCCCAAACCCGAACCCCTAAACGTACACTTCTGAAAATAATACTTACCTTTTTATTGTATTTTTTTCAATATTGCTTTTAAAAAGACTTTTTTTATTTCTTTAAAAATGAAGTTAAAAGATTTTAAATTTATCATAAGTTTAATTGTTGAATAAAAAGTGCGGTCTCAAATTTTCATGTAGGCGGAGCCTTATTTTGGCCTCGCCCCTGCATTTTAGAGAAGGAAGTGAGGCCGCATCCCTGTCCCTCATGGCCACATGGTGGGCACACAGATCTCATTGTTTTGAAGTAAATGCGTCCCAAAGTCTGAAAATCTGTGTGGAACATGTGCAGGTAAGTAGTGTATTAGTATTTTTAATGAAAAATATGATGATTTTATGTGTGTACAGCTGTTCAAAGCTGTGTTTTCTAGTCATGTACTGGCTGCGTTATTTAACTCAAACAGAGCTAAAATTGTCACCACCGAAACAATCACTACTGAAACATTTGGTAAAGTTTGGGTAGTGTTATGATTGTTTTGGTGGTGACAAAATGGAATGTTCAATCATTAGTGTTAATAACATAATCGTAATTAAGATATAGGGTCACTCAAAGAAAAAAGATTTTAGGCTAAAGTCCAAAATCAGTTAAAAGTCCCAAATATGTTTCAGCTCTGACTTTGAACCGGTTTAGTAGAATCATCTGTATATGTTATACATGTAGAGTTAAAGTTTAATGGCAGGCATACTGTTGTGTAGGAATGTTAGCCTGCTTGCAGCATTATTTATATTTTGCAGGGGCGGAGCCAAGTGGTGGCCTACAAAATCTAACTGGCCGTCATAGATCTGATGATGGGGGTAAACTAATGATTAAACTGACTGCTTATTAACTAGCTCTCTTTATAATGACACAGGCAGTTTGGAGGTCTTTTTAAGTACTGCTCATTGCTTACTGTGACTTAATTCATCATGAAAACAATAAATATTGTCTTAGTCCTATTTATTACCGCATCCGAGTATTAAAATGTAAAAAATCAACACAAAAACAACTCTGGTTGTAGCCAAAGTATCAGAATGGCCGAATCATAAAACGCATCTATTGTATTTACATGTTTTTGATCACCTGCAGTCATTCAAGTCTCTGGATCTACAACTGATATTTCAACTCCTTAAAGACCTCGTAATTTAGAGGATATTGAGGGGAAATTTATTTACAGCAAAACGTATCAGCTCTGAAACGTTGTTACCACAGAGTTTCAGTTTACTTTTCTCGTAGAGATAAATGGCTCAGACCCAGAGTTCCGATTTCAGGCATGACGCCGACCACCCATGTGTTGTGGCCTGATGGGGGCGCCGTACCACATGCAGGTGTCTGTGCAGCAGCACTTGGCTCAGGCGCTTCGCTCTGCTCCCGAAAAATGTGCCCAGCTCGCTGATCCAGGTGAAGCAGAGCGGGATTCCGCAGAGCCCGAACAGGATACAGAACACTCGCCCTCCCACTGTCTTCGGAGCGACGTTCCCATAACCTGAAACAACAACGCAGTTCGGAGAGGGAGGTGACCACTGGAGCTCAGCTGACCTGCAGGCCATTAAATTTTAGCTGATGATTAACTGTCATACAAATAACTGACACTTTATGACACTATAAACTTTGTGTACTTTAGTCCATGTTTATTGATCTATTAGTGAAGGTGACAGGCTTCCTATTCAGCACCTTCTTAATGACTGCTGCACCATTTAAGATGAAACGAAAAATTCTGGAGCTGTATTAGAGAAACATCCTAACCCTGAAATCTGTTTGGTCTCCATGACGACTTCAGTACGGACTGAATTTAGGACAGTTGCATTTTACCGTACCATAAATGCCGCAAGATACAGTGTGAATTTGCATTAACTGTTATTTCTGTTATGTAGTTAAATCTGCTCAGAGGAGAAAAAACAGGAAAAAAATCTTCCTTAGAAAATATGATAATTGTGAGGTGGTGGACGAGGATGAGGAGCAGCAGAGGCAGCGTTTGTGATAAATTTAGACGCTGCCCTCGTCAACTCTCACAGCCTGAGACGTGTGAGAGTCTGTCGTAAGATTAAGAAACATTTAAGAACATAATATTTTCGAGAATAACACTTGTTCTTAGAATTATTCTCAAGAAAAGAAAATAAGAGAATTCTTATGAAGTTTTTCAATAAGAATGAAGTTCAGAAAAAACACATTTAAGAAGATTTTCTTTCTTAAGACACTTCGGTGAATCCGGGCCCTGCTTACCTATAGTGGTGATGATGGTGGCAGCGAAGACTAAAGCGTTCTGCCAGGTCCAGCTTTTAAAAGGTTTTTCTCCTGTGATGGTCACACCCTGGCCAGCTGCTTCAGCCACCACCTGTGGTCAGAAATGCTTCAAAGTTAGAATAGCTGTTCAAAGTGCTCAGACGAATAACAGGGGTGCAGTGACATGTATTCCCAGGTTTGACCTGTTACCACACGCTGTGAGATTTACTAAGTGTTGATGTTTGTTATATGAACTCAACCTGGTGAATCGCACAGGGTCAAAACATGAGACATTATTGGATTCTTCTGTTAGAAATAAAGGTTCAGTGCAGGTACATTTTTCGTTTATCAGGGTACAAACAATGTAATGTTCCCTCAAAGGTACAACACTGGTTTTAAGGTCCAATTGTGAACCTTAAATAAGTTTTTCCAGGTGAAAAGTATGTTTGTATCTTTTCATAACCTAATGCTTTAAAACAGTACAATAAATAAAAAAGCTTGGAGACGAGAAGGGAAGTGTGGAGTTACAACTTAGAAAATATTATTTAAATGGATTATGGTACGATTATGTTCCCTCACTAAAGGTACTGAGATGTACCCTTGAGGGTCCCACCCCAGTGACAAGAGGGGCACTGCCCCAGTAACAGTTTACTACCTTTATTCTGATTATTAATCTTGTCTGTTTTTTCTATTAATTTGTTTGTGATTAGATTTTATTTGAATTTCTTTTTCAATCCCTTTAATGTTGTAATGTTGCAGCTACATTGAAAATGACATCCTCAAAGTATTTTTGAGTGAAAATCAAGGTTGATTAATTGATTGATTTCTGAATAATGTACAAAATTCACTCCCACCTCCTTTTCCTCTCATTAAAACGGAAAGATCAGCAGCAGTTGTTGAAGTTCATGGATGTAACTCTCATTTTCTCTGTGCTTCTCTTCTAACAGCAGTTACTGGTTTTCACTGTAACACTGACTGATTCTGTTTCTCAGTGTTACTCTGATCGACCTCTAACAGACATCAGTCATCACTGCTTAATCTAACCACTTCTATCTAATCACAGGCTGTTTTCTTTTCTTTTCTCTATTTTCAAGATTTTATTTTAAGGCTAAAAATTTATCCTCTGTTCATTTTGTGTTACTGTTTGCTATCTGGTGTAATTTATCAGCTGTAATTTATCAGCTTCTGTTCATGCGAGTCCTCCTGGTAATTTCCCAGGTGTTGTACTGGGTCTCATGCAGGTGTTGCATAAACTTTACTGGGATTTTGACTCCAGCTTGTGTTCGTGTTTGACCCCTGAATTTCCAGGTAAATATGTGTGTGTGAAAGAAACTTAAACTCTGGCACTGTTTATGAACAGATTAGTCTGTCTGTGATCTAGTTGTTTTTTTGTCAGTCACCCAACTGCAGTTTCACTAGCACAGCCTTAAACAGTACATTCAACAGTTAGACGTGGACCCCCCCCCCACCATGAAGCTCAGACTATGATTAGAGTGATCAGACCCAGCCCTGCATTTCAGCTTCATTTACAGAACCCAAAAAAACTCTCAAAGTCTGTTCATCAGTCCTGAATTTCAGATGAGGACACTTTTTCACTATTCAATCGCTGTACAGACTGTAGTGCATCTGTTCCTGCTCTGTCTATCATCCTCCTCCAGCCTCGACCCTTCATCAGCAGGCAGGTTCTGACAACAGAACAGGCTCTAGTTTGGATATTTTTGGGTGGACAGTCCACTTTCAACCTAGCAGTGACACTGATGGCTGTGTCCGACACACTTGTACCAGCACCAACACACACTACCACGTCAGCGTCTCTACTGTGCTTAGAATGGAGCACCACTGTAACCGAACACCACAGGGTGGAGCCCGTAAAGTGAGCAGCGAGTGTAAAAATATCAGCTCCGTTTGAGGTGGGGGCGGCGGGGGTCTGTGTGTCAAGAGTTAACGTAAACATGTTTGTTTGTTCTGAAGCATTCTCGCGTCTGTGCGTATCAGCGTGCTGAAGGAAATGGGACGCTGATTGTTATGGATGTAAATCAGTAGACAAGTTGCTCTGTTTTCTACAGAACTCGTTCTGCGAGGAACTCGCCTGAAATGCTACACCTGTGTGTACCTGTACCACACCTGCACAGCCACGCCCCACATCCCACACCTCTCACTGTTTACCTTCACAACTCACTGTTTCTGTTATGCTGTTATTTACACAGTCAGAGTATCTCACACTGAAACACAGGAATCCACTGAACATCACCGCTGACACACAAAGATATGATTCTTTACTAATTACTGAATAATTCATCACAGTCACTTAACTTTTCATAACAGATACTGAATAATTCATAGTACATCCTGAATACTTCATAGTAGATACTGAATAATTCATGGTAGATAATAAATAATTCCTTGATAGGTCAGCTGGGTCATTCTGAAGATTCCTCGGCAGTGTATCTCGTGTGGTGTATTTTCAGCTTTGGTTCCACTGTGTGATTGGATTTGTACTTCTGTTTCTTCTCCTCTGCCTGTAAATGAATCACGTGTAGAACCGTCTCTGTTTGAAGGTAATGAAGAAGCAAAACAGAAGCAGGTTCAGAAGCACAGAAGCGTAGATGTTTGGATACAGTGTCACTGTTTTCAGGGCCATTTCATTGTGAAGTTGCAGCTCCAGCTGAGCCACGCTGACAGCAGAAGGAATGGAGGAGAGGAATGAGTCACGTTTATGATCTCAGTGTTACTCACAGCCTCCAGACTCTCAACAACGTCACCATTCAGAGCCAGACCTGTTAGAAAGGTGGTAAAACACCCCCCCCACACACACCCGCCCCCTAGTCCAACACAGCACCTCAGTGTTAAGTCGTGCCAGCGTGTCTGTCCTCCCCTCAGCCGAGTCACAGCCCCGCTGATAACACCATTACACTGAATTTACTCCTGATCCCAGACAGAACCGAGCAGCAGCTCACTGCACTCACTCAACTCACTGCATTCACTCAGCTCACTGGGCTCACTCATCTCACTGCACCCACTCAGCTCACTGCACTCAGTCAGCTCACTGCATTCACTCAGCTCACTGGGCTCACTCATCTCACTGCACTCACTCAGCTCACTGCACTCACTGCACTCAAATAGATCACTGCACTCTCCCTGATAGCAAGAGGATAGTGGACCACTGCTGGCCTGCTGATGGCAAAGCTGGTGGTCCACTGGCATTTTGCTCAGTGGTTTCCAGGCAGCCTACCAGTGTTTAAGCAGAGATTTAGACAAAATTCCCCGTATTGTTGCTCATTTTTCACTCACAGTCAGATTTTTCCCTCTTTATTTCCTTTAGTTATACTTTATAACTTAATTTAGTAAATAATAATTTTAATCCAGCACAGTGTCAGCAACAACATTTTCTATGAAATCATTTTTATTAAGCCTCATCAGTATTTTATTTCACTCAGTTGTTTGTAATATTTTTCTTAGTTTATTTTCCAAAATAAAAGTCTTTGTGCATTTAAAATCTGTTTGAGAAAACTAAAACTAGTTAGAGTTTGTTTGCAGGACAGTAACCTGGGTGGTCCGAGGGTGGACCAGCAGTGGCAAACAGTCAGTGGGGTGTCGACCTGATCAAGCCAGCAGACCGATATATGCTGTAATCTGGGCTGATAGATCTGATCTTTCCTGAGTGTTTTTCAATCGTCTGTTCAAGTATATCAGTGAGTAAAGTTTCCTCAGTTTTCAACATTTCAAAATGTCTTCAACATTTAGCTCTAATTCTCTCTTTTGGGTTTAATTTTTGAACCTACAGTTCTTCGATTTTTAATTATATTACACTTTTTTGCACAGTTTGTAAGTTAGAACCACTAAATGCATGTATTTTTACACTCTTAATGATGCGTTGCTCTCCAGAATACAACATTGTAGAACATGGAGACCCGCACTCAGCAATAAAATAAGTGAGAGATTATAGCTGCTTAAATCTTTCTTTTTCATGACAGACATGTTTCGGCTCATGCCATCCTCACATCACGTCCTTCACAATCAGTGCACAAAGGTGCAGCCTAAAATATTCATCTATACACATATATACAGATGCCGATGGTAGTTTGGTGATCATGTGATACGAGAATAATTTAGGCTGCATTTTTGTGCACCAATTCTGAACGGTGTTGAGGACAGCATGAGCCAAAACACGTCCACCATGAAATAGAAAGATTAAGGAGCTAAAATCTCGGGCCTCCGTGTTATCTGAGTACAGTGTGCATTCAGACACTCACACTGGCCCTCGCAGACACTGCATACACGCTCACATGCATAGTAACATATATGTATCAGCAATTACCTAGAATACCATAGCAACAGCCTAGCAACAGCTTAGCAACCACCTGGGATACTATAGCAAAGGCCTAGCAACACCTTAGCAACCACCCGGGATACCATAGCAACAGCGAAGGAACACCTTAGTAACCACCTAGGATACCATAGCAACAGCCTAGGAACAACAGTCTAGCAACACCTTAGCAACTGCCCAGATTTCATAGCACCAGCTTTATTAAGCAGACTTAAAGTACATTCACAAACGTTCCCCTTCTGCTTTACTGCTGATCACTCCTCTCACTCTGGGGCGAAAGAGCCAAACAGACAAAACAGCCAGCAACTGACACACCTTGGATTTTTCTGTGTTGCTATATATTACATGTGGAGAAACTTTTCTCCATAATTAAGTGGTTAAGATGTAAACAGTCATTCAGAGTAGTTTGGTGTGAAACGCTCTGTTCTAGAGAAACTTACTGAGGCAGAACTGTTCACAGTGGTGGTGATAGGAACCAGACGTCCACCTCTAAAATCTCCCTCACAGAAAGTTACTACATGAAATGGTTATGGACTCACTGCCTGATGACTGAGACACTGTTTTATGATAGTTTTGAGAACCTAAAATCCATTCATGGTGGAGGGATATATGATATGCACGGTGCTGTGCGGCAAAATAGTCCCCATGTTATAGTCATGGTGACCCCTGGTTCCTATCACCACCACTGTAAAGAAATCTGAAACATTTCACACCAAACCACTCTGAATCACTCTGTGTAAAAATCAGTGTTATTGCCCTTTAAAGTCAGTGAACAGGAATTCTTCACACCGGTGGTCTCTAACTCTCCTCTTGTCCACCAAGAGGTCTGCAATGCAGTCAGTGACAGCTGTGTGGGGTGAAAGGTCATTGAATTTTATTACATTCTATTTTATTACACACATAGCTGGTGAGTCCATCAACATTTCTTCTTCTTATTTTTTTTTTTAGTCTTATTATTCAGAAAGAGTGGAAATGTATAATTGAGGTGGACAATAAGATAAAAATTAATATCATGATACTTAAAGAAGTTTATATATTAAATTATGATATAGTTTTTTTTTATTAGAGAAGACAAAGTAATGTCACATTTAAAAAAATCCAATCAAAAACTGTATTATATAGTATATTTCACACACTGTGCTGCACTAAATCCAATAAAACAGGACAAATTATCCTCTTTTCCATCAAACTTGGAGGAGGGAAGCGTTTTAATAGACATAGACCGATCAGTGTTTTTAAAGCGGGATGCTTCAATCTGAGGATCTGTTTACAGCCTAACTTTACACCGATTATTCACGCTAGTAGTGTCATTTCATTTAAATTGTTTAACTGTTACACTGAGAGTCAGATAGAGAAACATAAAGTGTTCTCTTTTCACAGCACGGTCTAATGTAGAAATCTGTTTTTAAACCAGCGCTTCAGTAATGCTCATTGTGTTTTCACCATGGTAGCTACGTTAGCGTCAAGCTAGCGTGGTTAGCTTGGTGTTATTTGGGACTTTAATGTCAGCTCTAGTTCAAATACAGACATTTTTAGCAAAAAAACAGTCTTTCCTCCGTTATCCAGCTTGCTTTTCGCGCGACCACTGTGTTTCACAATTAAGTTATGGCTAAAATATGCGGTTGGGGAACAGAAGTGTTGTTCATTACCGTTTTTAGTGAAGTCGTAGAACGTGTGCTCACTTTCAAAGTTCTAAGGAGCTTCTGGGACAGTGTGCAGTTTGTGGCTGTCAGTAGAGCCGAGTGAAGATGAAATTAAAGCAGGAACAGCAGGAACAACAAACACAAACAGCTCAGAGCTTCAGCAAACACAAGACTGCGGCTTCATAATGACTCGGTGAAAAAACTCAGATTTAAAATCTGTGTTTCTTAAATGCAGCCAGATGATGAACTAACAGTTAAACGTCACTGTTTGCTCCTTACAGACTCACATCAACAATTTACCTTATTTTTTCTTATTAATAATAAAAAGGAGGGGTGTGTTTGAATAATTGCTCTCCGGAACTGGAAAGTGTGCCTTTAAGGCACTACTCTGGGAGATGTGCATTAACCTGTATTACATGAAGAAGCCTGTTGTTGCCGGACGTTGCGGAAGTTGGTATGCTGGCATACTGTGACGTACTTTTGAAGATGTTCCAGATTTGGCACACCTACAGGGAACATACTGAACATACTACTATCTACCTATGAAATAAAACCCCTGAAGGTAATATTACAGCCAGTGAAAAATATGAAATAACCTATTTTCAATAAATTATGAAATAATGGAGTAATAGAACATCATTACATTTTTATACATATGTGATGAATATTAACACCTCCCCAAAAAGATTTTCAAACTAATTCATATAATTCATACAGTCAAAATATTCTAAAAGTGTTGAAGGTTTTTGAGTTTAAGTCCCAGGTGAGGTCAAATACTCTCCCAATGTGGAGAGTCCAGTTTAAAGACATTCTTGTTTTCTTGAGTCTTTGTTTAGCACTGCATTTTAATACTATTTTACTTTCTTTTAATCCCTTATTTTACTGTCTTTATCTTTAACACTTTAATTTTTAAATTAATTCTGAGGTATTCGAATTCAGGACGCCATAAGCTCGATTATGCACCATATGCACTTTGTCTTTACGCGAAGCAGATTAAATTGCCTTGTATGAAATGTGCTTCATAAATAAACTTGTCTTGTCCAGTGTTGAGGGTAACACGTAACATGAGGGTAACATGTTACTGTACTCACGTTACATGTGTCTGTAACGCAGTAATGTAATGCCACAGTTACAGTCAGAGTAATACACAGTTACAGTTACTAATAGTGCGTTTGTGCAAAAATCAATTGACCTGTCATTACATGACTTTGCTGTACCTACAAGAACTGTGGGCCACAGGAGGATGGGTTCCCCTTTTGAGTCTTGGTTCCTCTTAAGGTTTCTTCCTCCTGCTCTTAGGGAGGTTTTCTTTGCCAGTCGCCACCGGCGACGCTCAAGGGGCCTCAGACACACCTGCTATAAACAGCAGAGCAGCCTAGAGCTTTGACTACTTTAAAACAGTAAAATGCAAACTGTGCCCAGAAACTAGCACCTGCACAGACAGCATGCTAACATGAAGCTAGCAGGGAAAGACCCCCAGAACCAGAGTGTTGCTCACGCTGAGTGTATGCTGACACCAACCAAGTAGCCGGGGCTGGATTTTCAACAGGTAACAAAAGCAGAGATGAACAGGCTTTTTCTCTGAGGTGCTGTTTGGGCTGGTCGACTTTGTGGTTCTTTACTAAAAAGCAAGAAATAAAGAACTTGTGTATGTCCTGCTTTTTAGGATCAGGGGGTCTGTGCTGAGACTGAAGTCAGCTTCTTATTCAGATTTTGCCGTTCCACCTTAAATAATGCAGCAGTTAATGTTATAAGGCCAGAATGTAACTGCTGCAGCATTTAAGGCGGAACAGGAAAAGAAGACTTTGGCTGTGTGGCACATGTAAGGTGTGATTCTAAGGGCTTATGTTAACTGGCAATTACGCAACGATGCATCTCAGGTGATGATGTGGAGAAACGCAAAAGTCATGTAACGAGTAGTGTAACGAATTACTAACCAGAAGGCAGTAAATACGTAAAGTAATGCATGACCTGTTTTATTGTGTAATACATGACAACCCCAACACTATGATGTTGGTCAATAACCTAACTTTTTAAGAGTGTACATGTATTAGATCTATAAAGAACATTATTATTATTATGATTACTATTGTTATTATTATTATTGCTATTATTATTATTACTCAGTCTATTATAACTTTTATTATAACTTTTTTAAATAACACTACTTAAAACAAAAAAAAATCAATAACTAGGTTGATTAATTTTCTTAATATTCTTACAGAAGATCTCACAAAGACAAATATTACATATCTGGATTACACTCTTAAAAAAGATGGTTCTTCAAGGGTTCTTTAGTAAAGACAATGCTTTTGTTTAGAACCATGAGTAAAATGTATTGTTTACATCATTTAAACGATCCTAATTGTGATGATGTAACATTTTATTTGTGGAAATAACATGTCTGGCTGCTTTTTCTTAGTGTAGCCTCTTCAGCTCTTCTCCTCTTACAAAACAGCCCAAACTTTACAGACATCAGCTTTAAACATCTACAGGAGACTTTTTAAAGTAATTAGGCTTCTCCTGCCCCTCCTGCCGCAGCCCCCCCCACTCCCCTGCCCCTGACTGCAGGCTGTGTTTTGGGCTCCAGGCTGTAAAACCTGCAGGTCTGGGCTTCTGTCCCAGCTTGTTGAGTTACATCATCAGGGAGGCAACAAAAGCCTCGAGCGCAGACAGCACGAGGAGAATCTGCACTTAACCACACTTATTACCCACTGCACACCTTCATGACCTCACTCAGCCCAGAACACCACAGATGGCGTCTCATTCCAACTTTCCGTTCCACCTTAAACGCCACACCACTTACACTAAGGCGCCTGAGCGTGCTGGAGCCATTTAAGGTGGAACGGAAGAGTTCTAGATAAAACCCAGCCTTTACCTTAATAATGCCGTCCAGGTCCTGCTTGGTCAGGCAGGGGTACTTCTGCAGGAAGAGCTCTTTCTGGTGCTCGTACTCCTGCACTGCGGACTTCCAGTTGGGCTCCTCCAGGAGCTCGAAGATCGCGGCTCCGATGAACAGATAGAAGATGATGACCGAAGTGAGGACCGGGCCTTTATCTGCCATGCCACGCAGCTGACGAACTTCCTGACCAGCTCAGAACCCCATTGAGGATGATAGGTGGCTAGAGAACTCGCTCCGCTCCCGTAGGAAGTTCGGTCAGGGCCCTCCGAGGCCACTTCCTTCGAGATCCTCGGTCCCTTTGATCCTCGGCGGGCAAAGAAGGCACGTGCGCTGGGCAGGACAACTTTTAAAAGTCCAGTTTCTGGTCCACACTGGTCACTTCAAAGCCACTCCAGAGCGGCTCCCTCACCTTGTATCTCCTGGAAAGTGAGCTGAGTTTGGATTAAAAGTTAAGCTCTGATGTTAGAGCGGTTCTTCTGCTGAGGAGCACTTCAGGAGTCAGTAAACGAATCCAGCTGCGCCGCTCAGCTTTCCAGACCCTGAGAGGAACTAAACCACGCCCATCGCAACGGGGCAACACCCATCGACACAGGGCCACGCCCGTAACCACGACACCACGCCCCTGAATTTCATTCTTACAGAGAACAATGCTCACCTAGAACTAATTTACTACCATACACTTTTTAAAAATATGGGTTCTTTAGTAAAGAAAATGGTTCTATATAGAACCATGAACACTAAAAGAACCTTTGCATGATTAAATAATACTTTGCATTGTGAAAGCGTTCTTCAGATTGATGGAGAATGTACTGTATATGGTTCTATATAGCACCCAAAAGGGTTCTGTTGTTGTTACAAGTTACATAACAATAGAAGAACCCTTTTTGGTGATATTTAGAACACTTTTCAAAAAGGTTCTATATAGAACCATCTACAGCACATTCTCCATCAATCTGAAGAACCATTTTACTATGCAAAGAACGCTTTAATCATGCAAAGAGTTCTTTGAGTGTTTATGGTTCTAGACAGAGCCATTTTCTTTACTAAAAAACCCCTGAAGAACCATCTTTTTTAAAGACTACTACAACTACTGCTACTACCACCACTGTGACTAATAATAATAATAATAATAATAATAATAATTAATCATTTATTATAGTATACAGCATTACAGTTATACTGGGTTCTAAAAGCTTATTTATTTAAAACAAAATGAGATGTGTAAAGTTGAAAGAACCTTTACATAGTATAGTAAGAACCCTTACACTGGTACAGAACCTTTACAGTACACACTCACCCAGGTCTTTTCAAATATGAAACTAAATAAGGAATAAGGAAATTCTTATTTTTTAAGGTGTACACATATGAGATCTACAAAATTATTATTATTATTATTATTATTATTGTTGTTATTATTATTATTATTATTGTTATTATTATTATTATTATTATTATTATTATTCAACTTATTGTAGCTGTTTTAGGTATGTTTTAACAAATAAAATTACTTAGAACAAGAAAAATCAATAAAATAGGTTATTAATATTCTTACAGTTATCTCATAAAGACAAATATGACACATCTGGCCTACACTCTTAAAAAGATGGTTCTTTCAAGGGTCCTTTATTAAAGACAATGGTTCTATTTAGATGCATGAGTTCTATCTAGAACCATTTGCATGCTTAAATGGTTCTCTGCGTGGTGAAATGGTTCTTCAGACTGATGGAGAATGTGTTGGTTCTATGTAGCACCAAAAAGGATTCTGCTGTTGTTACAATGTCAAGCTTGTGTAAAATAGCAGAACCCTTGTTTGGTGCTACAAACAACCATTTTCAAAAAGATTCTAACTAGATCCAGGTAAAACACATTCTTACCACTGACGGCTGTGTTTGTGTTTATTACTGTTTATTCTAATGTTATCTGGTGTTTAATATCTGAGATAAACAGTTTTAAACTTTTTATGACTAACTGAGGCCTCTGCACACAGCTGGATGCCTCTGATATGATTACAGTGCAAACCTCGGTTCTAGAAACGTTGGGATAGAGTATGAGACGCTGATAAAAACAGAAAACAGTGGTTAGTAAATCCTGTTTGAGCTGTATTACATTTAAAACAGCACAGAAACACAATATTTGATGTTTTAGTTTATGAGGTTTACTGTTTGCTGTAAATATATGCTCATTCCAACACGTTCTAGAACAGTTCTGACAGGATCCTTTTCACACTTTGTTACATACATCATCTTACCTTTAACAGCACTTCATAAACATTTTAGGCACTGAAGACACAAACTTTTAGCCGTTCTTCAGTTACACTCGTCTTCAGCCTTTACGTTTTGAGTTTGAGACAGTTCTGGACTGCAGGCAGGTCAGTCTAGCACCCGCACTCTCTGATTACACAGACATGCTTTTGGATAAACAAACAACATGTAGTGCCAAAAAAGGTTCTTCTATTGTACACTCTTAAAAAAGATGGGTCTTCGAGGGTTCTTTAGTAAAGAAAATGGCTCTTCATAGAACAACAAACACTCAAAGAACTCATAATTAAAGGGTTACTTGCATCGTGAAAGGGTTCTTCAGATTGATAGAGAATGTGCTGTATAGAGTTCAATATAGAACCCTTTTTGGAAAAGATTCTATTTAGCACCTTTTACTATTATGAGGTCAAGCCTGTAACAGTCCTTTTTGGTGCCATATAAAACCATCTACAGCACATTCTCCATCAATCTGAAGAACAATTTCACAGTGCAAAGAACCCTTTAAACATGCAAAGGGTTCTTTGAGTGTCCATGGTTCTATATATATATATCTTTACTAAAAAAAACCTTTAAAGAACCATCATTTTTAAGTGTGTAGTAAATAAAATATCTACATTTGTGTTGTAGTCATGGTGACCCCTGGTTCCTATCACCACCACTGTAAAGAAATCTGAACCATTTCACACCAAACCACTCTGAATCACTCTGTTTACACTGAATTTTGGGGGAATTTTGGAAAATGGGTGGAATTTCTCTGTGATGATCTAAACTGGGCTCAAGAACCCTTTTTGGTACTATATACAACCCTCTTTGCTAAGAGTGAGTGGTTGCCTTGGTGGGAGTTTTGGTTCAGTCTTATTTTGATAATTATTTGTTGATATGATACAATTACACTAAAAATGGGCTTCAAACTTCTCTAAACCAATTATTATGGGTTCTTTTAAACCTTCCTATGAGAGCCCACCTGGAACCGTTTTAGTATGAAATGCTTGGATGGTTAAAAGTTCAGGATTGATTGAGTTGTGTAATGTATGTTAGACTGTTCGTGGAGCTGCACCTCAGAATCTCAAAATGATTTCACTAAGCTGAAAATGTTCACACTCCACCAGAAGAAAGTCCACAGATTTGGTTCCTCTTTGTTTTAAAAGTAAAGTGAATCGGGACACTTCCATGTATGTAACAGCAACTTTGTGGAAGGGTTAAAAAAAAAAAAGGGTTTAGACGTGCTGTTAGGAAATGGTGAGGTGAATAAAGGAAATATGTCTAATAGTCAATTTTAAAATGTTTGTAAATGTTAAGAACTTTTATTTTTCATTTTAAATGATTGTATTAGTGCGCATAGTGAGTTTTATTATGGTGCCGTGTTTGCTGTGTTACATCTGCGTCTACTGTTGGATCTGTTTAGATTAGAGACCACAGTGGACATAATACACTTAATGTATAAATAATGTTTTAATGTATATTCAGTGTTACAAACAGTGTAAATGTGTCAGTGCAGCTACAACAGCTGCACAACTTCAGTTTTAAAGCATCACTACATTCACTTCCCTTATTCTTTATACAGGAAATCAAAGTGACACTCATAATTACACTGTAAGATACACTCCTCAAAAAGATGGTTCTTCAATGGTTCTTTAGTAACAACTATCAATCATTTGACGTGGAACGTATTCTATATGGTTCTATTTAGCACCAAAAAGGGTTCTGCTATGGTTATGATGTTGAGCTTGTATGCAACCCCTTTTGGTCCTATATAAAGCTAACACATTTTCCATCAATCTGAAGAACCATTTCACCATGCAGAGAACCATTTCAGCATACAAAGAGTGTTCATGTGTCTATACAGAACCACTGTCTTTAGTAAAGGCCCCTTGAGAACCATCTTTTTTAAGAGTGTATCCTTCAGTAGAGGTTCTAAAGGTTCCACCACAGTGATGGTTTAGTAGCTTGTTTTCTGAGTGCAGTGTTTTTTTAGAGGAAAGCGGCAGAACAAAGCTATTCTGTTTATAGCGCATTTATAATCCCCATTCTCCTTCTGATGGTCTCCTCCTGTAGTTCTTCTCCTAAAGTTCTCCTCCTGTTCTCTCTCTCTGACAGCAGCTGTTGTGATTAAAGAGCGGCGCTGATCCATCTCAAACGTATGTCATAGTCATTGCTTTCTGTGAGCACATAGTGTCTGTCTGTCTGTTTGTCTCTCTATCTGTCTGTCTGTCTCGCTGTCTATCTGTCTATCTCTCTGTCTGTTTGTCTCTCTGTCTGTCTTTCTGTTTGTCTGTTTGCTTGTCTGTCTGTCTCTCTGTCTGTCTCTGTCTGTGTGTCTATCTGTCTGTTTGTCTGTCTGTCTCTCTGTCTGTCTGTTTGTCTATCTGTCTGATTGTCTCTCTGTCTGTCTGTCTGTCTCTGTCTGTTTGTCTCTCTGTCTATGTATCTGTCTGTCTGTCTGTTTGTCTCTCTGTCTATGTATCTGTCTGTCTGTCTGTTTGTCTGTCTGTGTGTGTGTCTGTCTCTCTGTTTGTCTGTCTGTGTGTGTGTGTCTGTTTGTCTGTCTGTCTGTTTGTTTACTGTTTGTTCTCTGACTGTGTGGTAAAGTGGTTTAAAGTCGTCTCAGAATTCCTCCTCAAAGAAACAGACAGTTTTCCTGTTTTCCTGACTGTGGTGAAGGAAACATCGTCCCTGCCCTCCATTTCCCTTGGATCTGGGCTAGTTACATCCGTTCTCGCTCTGCCAGATGTGCCAGGAGGGATAATTAAAGCAAGCTTATTCTTCTGACTTCCAGGGAGGAGAGAACCACATTCTTCATGCAGACACGTTCCATCACATCCAACACACTTTATACACAGCAGCTGCACTGAACAGCCTACTATTATAGAACCTGAGAATAGAATAGAATAGAACAGAATAGAATAGAATAGAATAGAATAGAATAGAATAGAATAAAAAACACTAGAACAGAACAGAGTAGATGTTCTGTCCAGGTGAGCCCTGAACTCTAAGTCTGTCAGCTCAGCTCTGGTCAGTAAAGTGGTCAGTCTCAGTTAAACTCTGTTAAAGAGCTTTTAGTGAAGATGTTTTAAACATCTGTTAAATGTGTGATTCAAGGTGGAGCTGCACAGGTGAGAACATTATCTGCAGCTAAAATCTAAAATCCAGAACATTTGCTTCATGATCAGCGTTTCCTCCTGAACCACTTCAGAACCTTTAGCCACAGTGACCTTATTAAAAGAAGAACATGCTTTACTGTCTCTATTTCCTATAAAGAACGTTTGGTTCTGTGTACTGTAACACTCAGAACCTTAAGCACTAAACCCCGACACTGTTTATTCCAGATTGAAAACGGATTTAGGGTTCTAGACTAGAAGAACCCTCGTTACAGCAGCTGCACAGATGAAGATAAATGAACGGTCAGTCTGTGAGGAATCATGTTTGGTCCACTTTAAA